CCCCCCCCCCCCCTCTCTGTAAGGCACCCGTAAGAAATCTCTGGCCCCCTTTTGAATTGCGTAAGATTGGCTGGGACATCCCCCCCCCCTTCCATTTTTTAAAAAAAAACGGAGAAAGCCTGGTAAAGTAACTGGAATAAATTTAAGGATTTTATGAAGGTAATTTTGATGAAAATCGGCCAAAAAGAAGAAGCAAATAAGTAAAACATAATTGTCATAGTGTTTACCAGTTATCAAACACCATAATTGGGGATCTTAAGGGGATTTTTTTAAGGAAATCGGGAACTTTTTCTCTGAAAACAGTAAAAGAAAGGGAGGTAGTTGGAGCGTTTAAAGGCGTATTTTTTAGAACTAATTTCACAAGACATGATTTTTTCTGGAGGTACTGAAAAAGTGCGGAATTTCGGAAGAAAGTTGGGAATTTTTGTCATTTTTGTTGCAATTCGAGCGAGAAATTCAAATTTTTGATAATTTTCTAATTTTGTCAATTGGAGGTACTGAAAAAGCACTGAATCTCTCTTATGAGGAAGTACTGAATTTCTTGGGAATGAACTGGAAAACTAATGTAAAAGCACTGATTTTTGGCCAACCTGTTTTGGTAGACACCCTGCGCTGTTTAGGACGATTTCTGTCTTTTCAAGGGGACCTGAACAAGAAAATCGGGGACACCCTTGGAAATGGCAAGGTTTCACAGCTCACAACGTCAATTAAGTTTTTTTTATTTTTTAAACAAATAGCCTTTTTTTTTTACAGCAGAAAGCTTACGTACGGCTCGGCTTGACCTCCCTCCCTCCCTCCTTCATAAGGCTCTGTAAGACAATCTGGGACCCCCTCCCCCACAAGTGCCTTACGTGATACTTGAACAGCCTTGAACTTAGTGCAGTTTGTGAAAATTATGATTTCCTTTGCAAAATTTACTTTTTTTTATTTTTTCCTGCTGACATCCTTTCCTTTTCTTTATTGTCTTTGGCTGTGTTTAACCAACTGCAGGTGTCGGTATTGGTGTTGTATTTGGCTCTCTAATGATATCTTACTCACGAAATCCCTCACTGAAGACGCAGCTGTTCCAGTATGCCATTTTAGGATTTGCCATGACAGAAGCTATGGGTTTATTTTGTTTGATGGTCACATTTCTCATTCTTTATGTATAAATATTTTTGACTCATCACTCCATAAGTTTTGTAAATAATGTTCTCCTATGGGTTCAGCATCGAATTACCTAGTTGACTTAATTTTCTCCTTCCTTGGACTTTATTCCGTCCATTTACTATTACTTCCAACGAGAGAGTCGAATACCTAATGTATCAACTCATTATCTACCAACATTTATTATCTTCTAATAGCTTACAACCTGAAATTTAACTGTCACTTTCATATTTACTCTTTATATCATCAGTAGCCTAAGAACTGCACTTTCCAATCGCACTGTTGTTAAAGTCTCCCCTATAGGTGCAAAAAGTCTGCAATATGCCTGTCTTTTCTGTCCTTCTGAAGTAATTTTTCCCAGTTTTGAAAGTCAACCATCCATCCATGAAATTCCCTTGGTGTCTTAACACAATTTTCTGTCAATCCAAAAAAAAAAAACAAAAAAAAAAACAAAGTAAATAAATGAAAAATCAATTTGGAATTCATTAGACTCAGATGGGTTGTATCAATCCAGACTTACTGTGATTTTTCAAGACCATGCGCAATAAATTTTTCAAAACCTTGATCAACTGGTCACCAGAAATTCATTATTCAAATACAATCCTCAGTGGTCATCTGTATTTTTTATAATTGACGTATTTATTTTCCGTTATGCTATATTGTAAGGATGGAATGGGGTTTATGAGGTTTTATTTGCACAAGGTTTTTGACTTTCACCACTATACATGTCTCCGAAGTATTAGTGTCTCCACTATCCTTTTAAATGATGAATTTCTCAAATTTCTTACCCCTCGATCCTGGTCCCTGCAGATATAATCTGCTGCTCATGAATTTACCTCAATCTCAACCGCCAATCATAAACCTCATCCATTTCATTGTTCTCCCTTTTGTTTTATTCCCTCATTTATGTTTTTTGTCTTTTTCTCTTGTTATTTCTCCTGCCTTCTTTTTTGTATGATTTGGTTTGATGTTATGTGTTACAAGCATGTTTTAGCCAATAGATTTATTTGCTGAATTTTCTCTGATAAAGCACCAACCCGAGTCCAACCTTATCCCTACTCCAAGCATTTTTCCTACTAACAAGGAGCTTTAATCGTGATCCTCCTCCAGCACCTCAAGATTCCTCTCATTACTGTAATCAAGGATTTTGCAGGTAGTGCATTTAATATATTATACTAATTTTGGTCGAGGTTGGGGAGGCTAAGATTCTTGTACCCACCCTTGCTTCCATTATCAAACTAGATTAAGCATACCGCAACATTTTAGTTTCCCTTAACTGATGCTTTCAAGAAACTGCAGCCTGATTGTTGAAATTTTGTGTTTGTCGGGTAGACATAGATGACATAGGTGAACATGCGGAGTGTGATTGGTCGACTACGTTTTATCACTGCTTTATTGTGTCTTTGTCAGATGGAATGGACGACATACTGTCAGAAACTCAAGAGGTGCCTTTAGCTTGTCGGGGGTTCCATCCGACAGGCATGACAAAGCAGCGATAAGACATAGCCGACTAATCACGCTTCGCCTTTTAACCTATGTAATGGATGTCTACCCGACAAACACAAAATTTCAACAATTAGGCTGCTGCTCCTTAAAGAAGCAGATTTCTACCTGGAGCAAAGAAGCGATTAATTTTTCAAAAAATTGTATGAGCTTACATATTTTCAAAGCAATTTTTTATCTGAGCTAAACAAACTTGAGACCCTTTTCATTTTTGTCACTATTACCCCTCAAGGATTTCAGGAGCCCTCTATCCTCTTCTTCAGTGGCTCTTCCACTGACGTTAATAATATTGATTTCTGAAACATTTGCAAAGGACCAAAATTAAGTAACAGAAATAAGTGGTACCGTTCCATTGAAATCCATTTCCTTCACTATGAGCATAAGTTGGTGTTTCCTTCAACATGAATTTTTTTAAAAACGGAAAAGAAACTACTGTCTTCTTTTTTTTTTTTTTGGAAGTTGCCCTTCAAATAATTTTTATCTGTTCGTTGAAAGAAACTTTACCAGTTGTTTTTAACTTGTCAAAAGCACTATCATGTGTGGTTTCATCAATTGAAAATTTTTTGTGTTTCAAAATTTGATAGAGAATTAAAAACGCAAAAGGCAATCGAAAGATGAAATGCCTGATGAGGTTTTTTCCCAGTTATTTTGTTAATTTACTCCATCTGAGCTTGAGGTATCTACATGTTTAAAAAGGTTCTTGTACATTAACCCAAGGGATTCAGCATCAGCTAAATTTTGTTATCATTTGATCTGATGCTCTGTACACCTTGAGCTTTAACTTCTGAACATCAAAACTTTGTTGTTTAATTCGGAGAAAATTGGGCTGAAACATGGATTTTTCATCACTTTCACGTGCATTTTCTCTTGGAAATACCTCAACACCGGGTTAGTGATTGAAGAGAGCTCTCTTTCCTTTGCCAGCCGAAATAGATAAGACTAACACATGTCCTCCTATTCCTGGATTTCTTGGTCAAGAAGAACCAAAATCATTCGTTTGGTATCAGTGCGGGGCATATCGTTATGTTGTCAGATTAGAAGCCGTGAAATATTTCATGAGAAAGATAAGTGTTTAAATGGTAACAAAAATTCCCCTTCCAATTCCTTTTTTCTGAAATTTGGCACCTCGAAGTTTGATTTTCTAACCATACCACACTAAAGAGTTGTAATGAACATCATGTGAAATTATGATGATATTTAATTGGTGCTGAATCTGTTGGTTTCATGTGCAGACTTTCTCTTTAATTTTTTTTGTACTTCGACTAACCAGGGCTTTATTTATCAGAGTTGTTCCTTCCCCAATAATAATGCCCCCGCTTACATTAACGCCTGCCCCTCTGGAAATTTTGGAAATCTGTGGAATTGTGTCAGGTTTCTCATCTCAGTATTTTAATCATTGGTTTATTGTTTCAGGTGCTGGTATTGGATCAGTCTTCGGATCTCTCATCATTGGTTATGCCCGTAACCCATCCCTGAAACAACAATTGTTCTCTTACGCTATCCTTGGTTTTGCCTTGTCTGAAGCCATGGGACTTTTCTGTCTTATGATGGCTTTCCTATTGCTTTTCGCTTTCTAAGCGGCATTTTAGTTACACTGCCATTGCATCCAACTTAAGCAATGTCTTCAAGTTATTCCGAGAAATAATTTTTATAAAACACTCCAAAACCCAATGGGCAGTCTACTCCCCCCTCCAAACCAAGTGTTGTTAAATTTTTAATTTTATTTATTATATTTAATGATCACTGTAAATCTCTGGATCATTCTTAGAGAGGCGCAGCTCAAATTTCTGCTATTTGTCTTCATTTGGCGAACGAATTAACATTCAACTGTTCTGTCCAGCTTATTTTGGTTCCAATGGTTACTTCTGAGAACAGGTCTTGCATGTTAAAACGTGAGCCAATAATGCGATGGCCGTCAAATGGCTTTTCCTGGCATAGAAATTATTTCTTTGAATCTAATTTTATCTAATTTTAGACATTTAAATCAGTAGATGTAATTTTAATGTTATTTTTAGAGCCCAGCCCTGGTGAAAACACGAACTCAATTTAAAAACCGTATAAAAAATATAAAGGAATTTCTCTCTACAGCTATCCTTACCAAAACTTAATTCAGGCGTGTCCAAGTGATTTTGGAATTTTGTATTATCGTGTAATGGTTGAACATTTTTCACATCTTGTTTTGTACTACTATCTAGAGGTTAGGACGAGGAATTGGCCCAGTTTAATGATGAAAGCTCATTGATTTTTCTTTTTCTTAAGTTTTCTGTACAGCGTTAGATCAATAAATTCATATAGTTGTGAAAAAACTTTGTTTCATAATTTCATTTTTATTACCTTGAGTGAAGTCCAAGGGTGCCAACTCTTGCAAGTGAAAGTTGATAGATACAGCTTAAATATAACTATTGAAGGAAGGTCATCCATCAAAATACGCTTTCAAGGGAGATTTTCTGTTTAATTTCTGGAGGTTGTTCCAGAGGCAAAATAAGAAGCGCCTTTGAGGAGGAACAACCTTAAACACATCCATGGTCAAAGTGAGTTGCTGTGTTTCTCATTTGCAAAATTTCTCAAACTTCCATGTCTCAGAATTTCCATTAAAATTTTAGTTTTTTTTTTTTAAAGAGAAACAAGCCAACTTTATAGCACCAAATCTACACACAATATTCTGCTAACAGAGGAGGTATATCAAGGAAGTTTTTAAGGAATTCTTATTACTCATTTTCCGAAGCCAAAAGAAGTATGAGAGGAAGTCGGTAACGTTACAAATGAAGATCTATCATTTTGCACTAAGACCATATGGATATGACATTATATTCTCATATCGGGTCATGTGAACAACATTTAATAATCTATTAATGGTGCTCATATCGGGTCATCTAACGAGCATTTAATATTCTAATAGCGGTAAAACTTGAAACGAGCACCTCTCTACTGACCAACAAAATTGCCTATTCCTGGTGTGAGCATTGCCACCCGTACACTCATTGCCAGTTTTTTCTCCAGAATTTCTTATTCATTTGTTCTTGCTCAAGAGCTCATGCAAACTTATCAGTGTGTTTCTCTCAGAAAAGTCAGGTCATAAGAGGAAATAGAGAAAGTGTTGTCGTTTTAGTTTCACCATCCATTATTCTGACCGATTAAAGATCAATTAGAAAGTGTCCTGCGAAAACTGCTTAGGTCTATTTTACTAGCTTCCTATTTTTTTGTGTTGATAATTTGTTTCAAGAGTTGACACTATCATGTCGCAAGTTAAGTTACAATCAAGGCTTGTTCTGAGATTGAGTCAACCCCAAAACTAGTACTTCTTAACTCAGGAGGTATCATAAACCCAAGATATCTCAAGGATGGAAAAATGGACAATAGCAGTTTTCACACGACAAAATTCAATTATGAGGTGTGCAAGTTTAAGGAAAAGAATTTTGCCTCCATTTAGTTAAGGTACAAAAGTAACTATTTATTGAGAGAGAAAAAAAAAAGATGGCACACTCCAAATAAACATGGGAAGTGAGGATAAGTCTTTTATGGGGTAGAAATAAACATAATCTATCTGAAGGGGAAAACAGTTTTCATAAATATCTTATCTCTAATTTCATTCTATTTTTTAACTTGTTGCTAATTAACACTAGTCAGTACCTGCTAATTAGTGAAAGAAATAACGAAGGAGGGATTTCTGAGCACCTTACAATTACGAAGAGAATTGCTACTGCCGAGAGAAGTTTAAATGCGAAGCTGCTTCAACTTGCTTAAGGAAGGAAATTTTCCCATCATTGTAGACTTCGACTTTGATTCCGTCTCTAGCGGGCACTTGAGACTGTATATTTCTGGGTAGGCTTCCTGAAACTGCATTTGATATACTCATGAAATGATGGAAAGGTACACTTAGAAATTGAAAAGGAAGAAAGTGCATCTAGAAATTGAAAAGAAAGACTAATGTTTTGAAGATTGTAAAAGTTTACATCCTACCAATGATAATTTCTATTTGACAAAGTTTATTTTGAACCATCCACACATTTTATGGCAATTACTCAGCTATACCTTCAACTATGTATCCAGAATCTTATTAATATGAAAGAAATGGGCTGTATACGTTCTAAGAAACATTCTAATAGGAGAGGAGAGGTAAACATCTCAACATGACAAAGTTCAAGGTTTAAAATCTCCTGACTTCAGCCGGTCAGTTAGTTTATTTCTTTTTTCCAGGCTAGCCATTCTTCATTTATGTTCTCAAAAATCTGGTATATTCATAAACAAAGGCCGAAGTAAATGAAAAAAGAATATTACTAATACCAGCGAACAGAAATAAGGGAATAAGGTTCTCCCTGTTCAAAGATAATCTGAACATAGAGGGAAATTTTTTTTTGGTTGGTACTTGATGGTGGCTAGAATACATCCATAAAGTAAGTTTTCTTGGAGAAGTCATTCACTTCCCACAATAAATTGTGCAGTTTTCTTGATAATGCATACGCTCAAATTACACTTACCTCTGCTCTTTTTTTCCACTTTGACAAAAATCAATTTTTAGTCATTCGATAGAAGTATGAAAAAGTAAAATTTGAAATTTTTTGGAGTGGTTGTATTTTAAAGAGTTGGTTCTCCAGTATGAAATTAGCAGAAATTGAGATGACTTACATAAATTGCTAACTCAATCAAAGAGCTCCGTACAAAACATGTAGAAAATGAAATTCAAATTATTGTACTGAGAAATATATAGGGAAAAATTCTTTATCATAGGTACTTATCTCAGAAATTTCAGAAAGTCATCAAGCTGAAAATTGTTTGAAAGGAGGCCTGTGGTGACAGGCCTCTTAATAGTTGAAATAGTCGATTTTCTATAGTGCCATAGCCAAACTTTCAAAGGAATCACATCAATTGAGAGATTTTGTGGAATTGAATCGGCCATTCTCCAAAAGACTTTAATACCAGAAATTATAATGCGAGAAAAAACCATAGAAACTGAACTAATCGACCCATTCTGAATCTCTGAATTCTCTAATACTTTAGTGAATTATTAAATCTGCTATTTAAAAAAGGTCAATTCATACTGTTTCTACTATCTATACTATAAGCTCCCAGACCTCCTAATTTTGCGAAACTGGTGACGCTTAGTTCCAGCGTTCTACCGGGCCGATTTTCATGATTTTTGCGGCTATCGACGGGCAATTGTCTTTAGATAAGCCAACTCTTTTCAGATTTTCAAAATATGGCCCAGGTTTTTTTATATTACGTGGTAAAGTTGCGAATTCTCCCATTTAAACAATGTAAATTTATACTTTTTGTCATAGTTCGTTTGAGCGTTCTACCGGGCCGATTTCCATGAATTTTGCGTAGATCGACAGGTAATTGGCCCTAGATGAGCCCGCTCTAATTAGATTTTGGAAATAGGACCCAAGTTTTTTTAAAATCACGTTATAAAAGAGAGTGAATTTACAGAATGCTCCGGGACTGCTACCGCTATGCGCGGGAGGATGCGCAGTGGTCGAAGAGGTTGCGCAGTGGATGTGTAGCCTGCGCATCAGCTCTACACTTATCTACACAAGATTCGCACCTCCTCCCTAAAGACGAGCGGTGGCCGAGTCGTCTAAGACATCGAATGCATCCACTTAGACTACGATGTGGGTTCGATACCCGACTTTTGATATACTTAATTTATTACCTGATTATCATTGTTCGTTGTTTTACTGCAATACTTCATCAAGCAGTCATTCTAAAACGCTTTCTTTTGACTTCAAAAAATTATTTTTTTCTTTATTCATCAAAACCAAAAATTATTTCATTCTACAAGTAAAGTATACATCATATCGTAATTTTTTAGGGGGAAAATAAACCTAACACTGATAGGAGGGTAAAAATAGGGCCGCGAAGCGGCCCATTGATGGCGCGGAGCGCCTTCAGGGGGTTGGACCGCGTAGCGGCCAGGGGGCGTAGCCCCCTAGTCTCCCTCTAATTTGTACTTCTGGTGCCTGCTCGAGAAGGAATGCTTCAATTGTACTATAAAAGTAGATACTGTTTGGCAATCAAAAGAGTATGAGCAAATTAAATACAGCAACTCATTAGGAGAGGCTGTAGTGAGGCCATCCTTCGGATTCCATTATCTGGAGTTACATGGGCACTGAGTCATGGGTACAACAACTCTCTTCGAAAACAAGATTCTCTAAAGGCAGCTTTCACCAGAGCCAGAATACGTGAAAATCTGAGTGTGATCAAGCTAGAAACGTCCCTGAAGATAATTTGAAAATTATTTCTCTCACCATTTTCAATTTCCTCTTCTTTTCTTTTGCGTTCATTTTCTGATCATGGAGAATCTGATCCAGGAGTTCAGCCAGAGCACGTTGAGAGCCAGTGAATCTTTGTTGCTCAAATTCCTCTGTGCTTACCCGTTCACAGTATGCATGGTTCTAGTGGGGGGAAAAAAATTCAAATTTTTGGACAGTTGAAAAGACAGATTGAGAAGATAATTAGATTAAAATTAATTAGGTGCAGCTCAGGGAAAGGAAACTAAGTGAGCATTTTTCAATTTTTAGTTTTTGACAGATTTGGATCCTCCACGAAGTAAACTACATTGGAATGGTAAATTTTCCCAAAAAGTGGCACTCTTCCCAGAAGAATAGTGCCTTATAAATCGGAAATTGGCATCTCAATGTCTAGTTTTTATTGTTACTTGCATCTAAAAACTAATATTTGACTTTAATCTGTGATGAATTATTGAATAGTTGGTGATCAAAACAGTGAAAAACAGATATCATCATCACCATCACACATGGAGTGCGGCTGGGATGGAGAAAGAAAAAGCGAAGTGGCAATTTATTTCTAGAGGATGTAGTTAGTAAACATGATTACAAGAGCCAACTGTTGAGTAACGACTCTAAGCTCATAATTTGAGAACAATTACATATTTTGGCAAAAACCTGGGTCTGGTCAAATGAGTAATGTAAGAATAAAATGTTTGATTGATCTAACTACTAACCTTTCTGGACGAATTAAGGCACTTCCTGGCTTTTGAGCGAATTTCGTTGACAAAGTCCAGAGGCGGTTTAAATAATATATCCTTATGATCCAGTAGGAAACAAACAACGAAAAATGCAAGATCATTCTGTTTGTTTATATTATTTTCTCGCATTACTCCTTGGCTTAGCTCATACAGTACCTGAAAGCAGCAAAATACAAAGAACCGGTTGCTGAATAATGAATATGAACTTAGAATGATTTTCAAGCAAGAGACTGTCAAATTCTGGAAGTCAAATAGATTTGTCCAAAAAATTTAATGTAATATTTCAGGCATCAGAAGATAAAATTAATTTTTTTGAAAGGCAAATCCGATTACTGTATAGAATCGTATTGAGAGCCATATGCCGACCTTTTTTTTCTACTTATTACTTCAAAGGGCAAACACACAAATAGGGAATTTTCTCAGTCAGCTAGTTTCATCTTTCTGCTCAGCTAATTTGCTTCCAGTTTAGTCTGTGCGCTACTTATTCTAGATTTTCTTACCCGAACAAAAGGTGGAAATGATGATTAATTCTTTGTTTGTTTGAACTATAATTAAATCCTAAGCATATTTGTAATTTTGTCAATTCAATATAGTGGCACTGTACCTGAGAATGAGGAGAGGCCATCAAACGAGACATGAGTAAAAGTAAAAGTTTAAGTTGGGCCCGATTTTTTGGTGGGAGCAGAAGGCAGAGAAGTTGGAAGATCTTCTTGCCTGAATTAACAGTCTCATCGCTCCAACCAGCTGAAATCAACAATTATTAATATAACGAAAAACACTTTGATATAAAAATAAAATAATTAACTGACATCTTGAACTAAAAACGGAAGTTAACGCTAGAAATTGCTTACCTTTCAGCAGACTAAGAGTTTGGAGATAGCTCTACTTAGGATGAGGAATTAGATGAGAGCCCTCATCAACACCACCTTCAATTTTCAAGATGGAAAAATTGAAAGTGTCGATTAGATATACTTTGATGCTGATTAAAATTTATTCTAATGATAGAGTTCTTTTGAATTTAGGTATGCATTATTCCCGAGCTTGTGCTTCCCATGATTCTAGTCTATAAGCATAAGGCTTTTTTTTGTTGCTATAATATAAACAGAAGCGCTATGATAAAAATAGACTTAGTTCCTGTGGTAAAGGACAAATGCTGCACTAAAAATTACAAGCTCTCATCAAACTAAATCCATCACAACCTAAGTAAGTAAGTTCTTTTTTGTGCATGTATATACTTGAAACTAAATTAGGTTTTTTTCTTAAAACTAAAAAAATGAAAAATAATTGCTTACACTTCTTTTTCCTCCGTTGGTTACCATCATAAGAGCTATCAGAGTCATCTGAGTCAGTGTAGAAGGAGGAGTTGTCATTAACCGTCAGATATTGTTCAGAGTCAGGAGTAGTTGAGCGGCTGCACTCCATCAATCGGTTTAAAGTTTCCAAAGCTATCCCATAGTTAAACTCTACTTCACCAGGGGAATCAACTGATGCCAATCTCTCCATGGACTTTGAAATAGCTCGAGGCTCAAAGCGACTACCAAACAAACTATTCTTTCTAGCATTCTTGACATTGATGTTGGCTGAGTGCCTCGGTCTTTCAAAATTGTCATCCAAAGAATTTTGCGAGCTGAATTTATTGATTTTTTTGTACTTGGGATCATGACAAGGAAAATCATTGAGGTTGTGACCCGAAACACTGAAAGGTGTTTTAAGACCTTTAAAATCATCAGACAGATTATCGCATTGTGCTATTGAGAAGTACTTGAGATTTTTCTGTGGATATTCATACTCCATGTTTTTATTCGACATCGCTTCCGCTTTATGCTTCCTTATGAGTTTAGGAAGCGTGCTGAAAGATTCTTTGTTCGTATCATGAAGTTTCTTTTTCAATCTGCGCTGAAAAGTTAGCGACTTGATGGCTTCATCGTAAGAGGGACACTTTGGTGCAGGATTAAAAGTTTGACGATCTGGCGGAGGATGTCGGTTGTAATACTTCTTTCCTTGGGTTACGTTGTGATGAGGATTGACATTTTCTGTATCAGAATTATAATCAAATTCTGGTTGATTCTTGGGCTGGCTTGGTATTTTCCTTCGCAATGGTTTCAATGGTTTTAGTTCCATTCGTTCAGTTTCACACTGATCTGAAGCATCTCCAGGAAAAGAGGAGGTGCTCTTTCGAGGAGCAAGGTGTATCGTATCAACTGCAGATTTTGGAACAATCCTTGTGGTTGGTGAATCGGATGTAAAGGCAGTTTCAAAGCAGGAATTGCGAGGCAAGGAACCGGAGAGAATGTTGAATTCATTCAAGAGGCTGTCATTTGAAGAGTGAAATTCTCTGTTCCTCAAAGTCTCCTTCTTTTTGGAGCTTCTTCCTTTCTTCAATGGGCTTGACATCCCGAGAATCAGATTTTCTGTGGAGCGACTTGCATATGGCATGGTATGCTGATTAGTGGAATACATTTTCCTCCTGGATTCAAGAGAGTCTAAATATTGATAGGCACAAACGAAGACATTGTAGAATTGAAATGGAATCAAGGGATCCGATAAACTGTTGAAATAATCTTTTATAACTTCCACTATGTCTGTCTCAAATCCAGGATAGGTTGGAGAGTGACCGATATTACTCATTGGCCCTGAAATGCATGCAAAGAAAAAAAGATTAATGATCAAAGAATTGTAAAATAGTAGGTTAGAGAAAAGAAATAAGAAAAAAAAGGGCTTGGAAATGATTTTATGTGGAATGCCATTAAAATGGACTGCATTTTGCAATTTGGACCTATAAGTTCTGGCTCATCTGAAAAAACACTTATACGCATAGGGAAACTAAGGGCACATACGTTGTTCTTGAACCGGGCCGGAATTTATAGTTCCTAATTGCAAAATTTAGTCCAAATGTACAGCTGATTGAAAAGAGATTTTCAGTTTTTGCCAGTAGACCCTTGAAGCCCTTCAAAAACTGCCTGGAAATGGGCCTTGATCAAAATCTGCCTAATAGACACTGATGGTGAGTTTGCTCATAATTCTTCATTGGAAGCGTTGGCGCAGTCCCTGAGTACTCGCCTAGCATGCGGAAAGTTGTTGGTTCCATTCCTTGGCCACTCTGATTTTCAACAATTTCAGCCTCCAACAATTTCCATCATCATTTTTTTCATCATAAGAGAGGATTCCCCAGCTTGTGCATGGACTTCAAAAATGCTTGAATCTCTAGGGTGATTGCATAGAATGGTAAATTGAAAAGTTACAGAGTAAACTGTGTTATTCCTCATGCAAAAAACTTTCTCAGAGTATGTATGAACTCAAAGAGTTTTCATACTTTCTCAGAGCAGTTTTGAGGTGCTCAGATCCGGCTGTGAGAGCAATAACAGCAGCTTGTCAAAATTGCCTTTCTGATCATTTCGAACATTTATTTTTAAATGAGGGCTTCAATTGAAGCTGAAAGTATACTGCAGCCAACGTATAGCTCGTTTTTGTCCAGCATTAATGGTTTGTGAGAAAATTCATAGGAGACCTTACTTTTTGGATGACCCGCGTAAATGATTGAAAGGCAGGCTGACATAGTCAAAGATGCCCTCCGATATGTCTTCCATTCAATGAGTCATTTAATTCACTACAGCTTATTTGACTAACCTTTGATATGAAGATAAAAGTTGACGTGCACTTGTTATTTTTGACATGGTAAAAAATCTTGAACTCAATTTTTCAACAAGCTTAGAATTTTTAATGGTATTTAAAAAAAGGACAACTTACAGTCAAATAGTAGTAGCGTGTTGATAGCTTCCAATACCCACTGTGGAAAATTAGCACCAACGTTCATGTATTTGCAATTCAGAACAAGATAATTACAATTGATGGCACTCATCGGCAAGATGGATTTTAAGTCAACCCCCTCCATCAAAAGGTTGAGCCTGGTAACAATAAGAGACATTCTGAATTAATTTTGAAAACATTCGTGAGTAGGGGAAGTATTGTCCTGCATTCACAAATTCGCAGTCAAAATTTTCAAATTATATTGCCTGTGTACTCAGATTTGCACATTTTTAATTAACTTCACATTAATCCTGATTTCATGTTGATTCACGAAGAAAATAGTGTCAAGTAGATACCAAGGTCAGGGCCTTCTGGCCCTGGACTTAATGAGGTTCTCAGGTTTTGCAATGGAAAATGCAAGTAAACACCGATGTCCCAAGTCCAAAACTTTGTACCTCCATGTGTAACATTGTAGACTTCCTGCTGTCATACTTTATTTTTTCTTTGAAAACTATTCGAAGCAGTTTCTTGGAAACTTCTTTGATTTTTCTTTTCTGTCTGCAGAGCATCTTGTATAAATTTCAAGCTATAGAGTTGGTTTATTTTTCTTCCAAAAAATACAATAGGAGCAGAAATTTTGAAACACCAGAATGGAAACACGTGAATTTGCACTTTGGCCAATGACGTGGATTTTTTCATTGAGGTCCGCGGAGCAATGGTTCTCTAGATTTTCATTTTTCGAAACGTGCAATTTTTTGCTATCTGACACTATACGCAACGGACTGATACCCAGCACTTGACTGCGCTTCAGAAGTTCAAAACTCTCTTATAAAAATTTCAGAGCACCATAGGCAGTTAAGGGTCAGTTTTTCTTTAGAGGAGGCGCTTAGTGGGTCAACAGCCCTACAGGTAACTCTCTTGGTAAGTTTCCAACTTTTCACTAGGCACTTCTCTTTTCTCAAAAAATATTTCTTCTTCCCTTAAATTAAATCAAATGAAAAACGGAAAACTAAAAGCATTCTCATTCATTGCATACTTCTAGTGAATGAATTGAAAACATTTTTTGGAACAGTCCTATTTCATAATGATTTTCAATCAAGGAAACAAATCCGAATCAATTGGAGAATAGTGGGGTAGGTGAGGGTAAGAGTACGTATTTTTTGGTTTTTCCTGTATTTCCATGACCGAATCGACTTTTAAGCTAGGAAAAGTGGTCAGGCACCTACTGCAAGCCCTCGCACACAAGTGCCATGCGTCGTCCGAATTTAGAAATCTTAAACAGGAAAAGAACAAAGTTTAATTGCTCAAACTGAACAAAGGAACATAAAAATTTATTAAGATGCTGAGTTGCCTACATCTTCTATGTTGAAGTTCCTATACACCTCCCTCCCCCCACTATGCCCCACTTTTGGGCGCGTACTTTTGCCCCAAAGTGTGAAAACAACTACAGATTATTAAAGCCAACACTATAACACTTTGATATGGTGCCTGCCCGATTTTTTCCATCAACTATTCTACTCACAACAGACAATACATATACTAGAAAAATCAATCTTTTTCACATGAAAAGTGAATTTGCCTCATAATTCCGTCAAAAAACATCCGCTTTGTACAAAACTTCGTCAACAGGTGAAACTCAATGTTGCCAACAACCAACACCCGGTGCCATCATAAATTCAAATAAAGCGCGCGAAAAAAGTGCAGTTCGTACTTTTACCCCGTGCGTACTCTTACCCCCACCTACCCTATCTCTTTATCTGTTAGTATCCATTCTCTTAATCTTGCATAATTTTGGCAAAAAGAGGGTTCATTACTTTTACATATAACAATGGAACTTACCGTCTTAGGAACATACTCCTCCAGAGAATATTTTCAAATTCCATCTTCCCTATTTCAGCCAATTTTCCACCACCTTTTTCTGTATCTCGGAGCTGGCCATTAAAAATTTTGCTATCCTCAGAATTTAGAGAGCGATTCTTCAGAGATGACTCATCTTCAGTGACAAACCTTTAAAAATAAGAGATTGAATGATCAATTATAAAAACAGTCTTTTCAAAAATATTTCTTTCGTGGCATATCATAATAAATGAAACCAACATAGGCTAATTTCACTTGTTGCTATCAATGCATGGTGGAGTTCTAATTTGAGTAATGATATATCTTCAGATGGATTCTTTAGCAGATACTTCAACTTTCTTTGAGAGAATGAATTTACTTCCTCCTAGTTCACCAAGTATCTGTAGCGGGATGAATTAATTCTTCAGCGTTTTTTGTCATCATTGTTTCCTACCCTTCAACCCCACACCACCAGCTAGCTACTCAAGACCATCTCACAATCAGTATTGTCAGAATGGCCTAATTGTTCATTAAGAAAATTCAAATATATGTACATTAAACTTTTCACTTGTAACCTTTGAATATTTGTCTCCTATCCGCTTTAAAAATCTTGAAAAAAGCACAGTAGTGGCTGGAATGTCTCGATAAAACTTTTTGAGGAGATTTCAATAAACATACTTACTGATACAACTCTGCTCCTTCTTTGAAAGGCCGATTGGTTGTCTTGATACTTGTGAAAACATTGGCCTTCAAAAATTTGTCTAGTAAGCGAACAACCTGGTCCCGAGTAACATCTGGACCGAAGTAAGATGTTTTCAGGAGTGCTGCATGAAACCAGTTGACTGCCTCAATTCCGGTGAATGTTCCATCGTAGTATTTCATGTGACGTCTGTGCCTTTTGACAGGCATTCCTTTTTTGAAAATGCAGATTGCCTCATTCCACTAAAATAAGAAGTTTTTTTTAGAAAAAAAATATTCCTGAAACCTAACATTCAATTTACAGTAATGTATCTGCAAAAGTGAGAACGTAATTTAAAGTCTTCTATTACCCATTGTAAATCATTTGGCTTCAAGGAATGAAAAGAGGATACTATGAGTGATCAACGCATGAGGCAGCATCAAAAGATTTAAGAATCAGTCCTTCTCACATTTGACAAATTTTCGCAACTGGATTTAGATGAAGTTTTTAACTTAATGCCAATCTTTACAATGAATTGAAATTCCCTTCAGATGACGGTGTCGCCCGACAACATTTGATTTTCATGCTGGCAGCAATGATGACCACATCCAAAATGCTCGACCCATCTCCCGAGGTGGGTTGAAAAGTGGATGGATGCAAATGTTGGTTGAAATTCATCAAGCAACTGAGTTTACTTCTTGACTTCAGCAGAGCGGTTTCTCCTCCTTTTTGTGACCCTGCCAATCAGGTTGAAAAAGTTGACCAAATCCACTCACAAAAATTCACCTAATGGTACATAAATTACAAAGTAAGTTTGGTCAAAAAAGACCCTTGAGTGAAATGTTAGCTCAACTCTTCCTTTCTCTCCAGGACTGCAAAAACAGAGAATGTATTTGATCAGATGGTAATGACTCGTTATCACTGTGTTCTTAGTCAGCAGCTCAGCGTTTTCGAGGGCCGAATTTTCGAAAAAAAATTTCCGATCATGATCTGAATTCAGGATTTCACAGAGGTGTCTTTTGCATACACTAAAAATCTTTCAACATGAAAACAAGTACTCAGAGACATTTTTTCTGTGAGTACTGGAGGGAAACAATGATAACGAAAGCTAGAGTTTTACCAATTTTGTGGCTCGATAAGGTCCAGATCTTTCCATGGTGAATCCTTAAATGATGATACAGGATAAACCAGTTCATAAAAGATGCAAACTATTGACATAAAAGAATTCTGAACTGACACTAAAGCGATTAAATGACATTTTGCACCTGTGGCTTTACATTGTATATGCACATAATTCAACTTAAAAGAGAATAAAGAAATAAAGAATACAAGTGAATACAACAAAAAATTCAAAAAGATAATGGCACTTGTCTCAGCCCGTCGCACACAGTCGATAGAGACTCTGCCAAGGATGCGCAGAGGGTTTCAGCGCTTGTTTCTCGAGCAAAGCAACCAATCCGCATCGCGTATTTGTTGACTGATTGTCTAGATCAGATTAACTGTGTAAAATCAGCTTTATAACAGTCATTCATCCCCTCCCCTTGCCCAGGTCAAAAACAAAAACAAAACCATAACCTAAGATGCCCAAAATTCAAGCGTGTTGAATTGTTGATTGCGTGACTAACAGTTCAAGTGAATTGTAAATTCATATTTCTTGTAATTTTTTTCCCACTCAACTACTTTGATAGAAGTAATAATCATGTTAAGAGTGTTTTAATGTTCATTCGTCACATTGCACTTACAAAGCATTAAGTATGTCATACTCAAGTCATACTCCAAACTATTGAACCGTCTTCAGACTCATGATCTCATGATGAAAGAATTTATCTTAGTGTCTCCCACTAGAAGTTTCAGATGCCAGTTTACGCACAGAGTTTATAGATACTTTTCTAAGATATCTACCACTAAGAGTAAAAAGTACTCTCATACGCTGAATTTGCCCTCTACTAAATTTCAAAATTGGGTGAAACAGGAAGAACGCGCTCAATTGGACCAATACATTTATGAAGTGAGTACCAATGTTTGACCGAACTCAAAAACCAATCATATCTTTAGCAATAAATCTATGCGCATCAGTCTCTTTTGTTAGGCATTGAATATAATCACTCTTGAATTCTGAAGCATTTTGTTCGATTGAGATGGTTTCTTTTCCTCTCTTTTTTAACAGTACCTATTTCATTTTTTTCAGGGCATTTTTATCCATTGCCTCTGTTACATAATTATTAATCCCAAATAATGGGTTGCCCATAAATTTCTCGAAATAAATAAGTGTTCAAAAATATTCTCTTGTCGTTCTTTGCTAATAGGATTAAGTAGCTTTCCCCATCTATAGGGTTGAAAATCTGTCAATAATATTTATTGAGACATATTATTTTTTCCAGAAATATAATTTTGCAGATTTGTACAAGTTGCAAAGGAATTTCCCATCCAGGCCTGAATTCATTTTGCACGATGGACCTCCCTATGCAAATGGAGATGTCCACATGGGTCATGCTGTCAATAAGGTAATGAATGCCTAATGTTGGCGCAGTTCCACAAATTTTAAAAAATGTGCCCTGGATATGACTTGACTTGAATTTTATCCGTTGATGGCTTAGGCTTTGAATTGAATGATTGTAACATTCCTCGCAGTTTTATTCCAAATGGCATACTTTATGTTATGTTCATGGTAAAACTACTGAAGGATATATATATTTCATTCACTCGCAGTGCTTCCAAATCTCCCTCCTATTTTATTCAATCAAATTAGAATGAATCAACCCAATTTCTATAGATTTTCTTGGCTTATTCACCGTATAAAAAATGAAAATCTGGGAATTTTTCAAGAAATGATGTTGAGTATTTTTACTGCCGAGAAAATCTATACTATAAGCTCCAAGACCTCCTAATTTTGCGAAACTGGTAACGCTTAGTTCCAGCGTTCTACCGGGCCGATTTTCATGATTTTTGCAGCTATCGACGGGCAATTGTCTCTAGATTAGCCAACTCTTTTCAAATTTTCAAAATATGGCCCAGGTTTTTTTATATTACGTGGTAAAGTTGCGAATTCTCCCATTTAACCAATGTAAATTTATACTTTTTGTCATAGTTCGTTTGAGCGTTCTACCGAGCCGATTTCCACGATTTTTGCGTGAATTGACAGGTAATTGGCCATAGATGAGCCCGCTCTAATTAGATTTTGGAAATAGGACCCAGGTTTTTTTAAAATCACGTTATAAAAGTGAGTGAATTTACAGAATGCTCCGGGACTGCTACCGCTATGCGCGGAAGGATGCGCAGTGGTCGAAGAGGTTGTGCAGTGGATGTGTAGCCTGCGCATCAGCTCTATCCTTATCTACGCAAGATTCGTTTCAGTGATCTGTAGATGAGCGGTGGCCGAGTCGTCTAAGACGTCGGATGCGTCCTCTCTGAACACCGTGTGGGTTCGATCCCCATCACTTGATTATCTCGATCATTACCTGATCTTAATTGTTCGTTATTTTACTGTAATATTTCATCAAGCAGTCATTCCAAAACGCGTTCTCTCGACTTCAATAAAAAAAATTTTTTCTTTATTCATCAAAACCAATAATTATTTCATTCTAAAAGTAAAGTATACCTCATATCGTATTTTTTTAGGGGAAAAATAAAACTAACACTGATAGGAGGGTAAAAATAGGGCCGCGAAGCGGCCTATTGATGGCGCGGAGCGCCTTCAGGGGGTTGGGCCGCGTAGCGGCCAGGGGGCGTAGCCCCCTAGTAAATTAAAACAGACGGTCTGCAGTATTGGAAACGGAGATATGCATTTTTGCAGTTTCATGTATCAAGGAAGGCAAAACAATTACGGGCTGCCTATTGTCAAAAATGAAGGTGAAAATTTTCATTTTCATTCTCAGTGCATTTCAACATTAAAGGGTCTGAATATTTTCAAACCATACAATAGTCGGAAAACTGAAAAGTTGCCTGATTTATACTGTGTTTTGCAGATCTCAAGTATGCAATTCCACTTTGTATCTTCAGGAAATGGAAGCCAGTCAGTTTCTTTTGAAAGTTCTAAAGAAGTTCTGAAGAGTCTCAAAGCTATCACTTTTCTCCAAAAGTTGCATTAGTTACCTACATAAGCTTTGGCAGATTTCTTATACATTTCTTACGATCTCATTTCAAAGTCAAAATAAGTTAAAAGAAATTGATTTCTTCAATTCAAGAAACGCACCTCTATCTCTTTGGTAGATACTTCTCTGTAGTAGGTACATAGGATGGTCATCTCTAGTGCACAAGGTGGTGGCCTTCAGTACACAAGATGGTCTTCTATAGTCCCTTTCGTCTTTTTATTGTATTTGCTTTCAAACTCTATTTCAGATTCTGAAGGATATAATAAATCGTCGTAAATTACTCGATGGATTCAAAATTCACTATGTCCCTGGATGGGATTGCCATGGGCTTCCAATTGAGCTTAAAGCAGTGGAGAGCAATTCCCAGTCCGGCTTAACAGCTGTAGAAATTAGGAAAACAGGTTAGTTTTTATAATCATATACCCTTCCTCCCCCAAGTCTGGACCAGTGAGTTTTCTCAAGAAAACACAGTTCACTGTAAAATTTATAGCACAACATTCAAGTGAGTAAATCTATTTCTGCTATCGGGAAGTCCCAAGAAAGTGCATTTCTGTAAGTTCTGTAAAAAATAGATTGGATAAGGAACATAGATAATTAATTTGGAATTTATGTTTTTATTTACAAGAAATTTTATTGGCATCATTACTTTCATCAATTTTTTGAGAACTCGTTCGAAAAATTCGGTTTATGACATCATCCACCGCGGTAGTGACACCCTTGGTTTCTTCCACCTTGCTTATCTATATCAGTCAGCGAGACACGCTATTTTACTGGCTACTCAATATGAAACTCAGATGGAAGCAAAGTGGAAGAAACCAAGGGTGTCACCACCGGGATGGGTGACGCCATAAACCGAATTTTTCATAGCGGGATATCTGGGTTAATATTGACCGTAGGGAGTTTTTGTTTGGACGTAGCTCATTATTTTCAGCTGATATACAAAAATCAAGTATCAAAGCACCATTCTAAGACCAGCGCAACTAACCCATTGTCTAATTTTCTGCTCAGTGAGAGATTGGTAAAATCAGTACCACAGTTCACATCACAGAAAGCCTTCCAAAGCGCCCAAAGGCCAAGATCAAGGGAATGGTTTGCTTGGTTGATGGAATTGATGAATAAAGGATACACTCTAATATGTACTTATAAATGCCAAATCGACCGGGTAAGTCGGCAATCACATAACTCGTTTGCGGTATCTGAAAATCTCCGCCTCTATGTTATTTTTTTAGAGGAAAACAAATTGACATGATTCCTTGAAGTTTCTGCAGAATTTTCTTCGCATAGAGAAGAAAAATCACTGCAGTTTTAAAGAATAGCCGTTGAGTAGTTTTCCGTTTGAAAAATAAAGTATGATAGGAAGCCTGCGACGTGGCAAATCGAGTTATGTGATTGCCGACTTACACCGTCGAAATACTGTATTCAATTATTTGAAGGAAAATTCTAAGTTTCTGTGTTTTCTTATTTTTTCTTTTTCTTCAGCCAGAAAATTTGCTGAAGGAACTATAAAGAAACAAAAGAAGTGTTTTAAATCATGGGGTGTGATGGCTGATTGGGAATCAGGCTGCTACTCAACTTTCAACAAGGCCTACACGCAAAACCAGTTTCACCTATTTTATGCATTGCATGAAAAAGTGAGTCAAGTATCTCGAATCGTCACAGTTTGATGTTCTAAAGAAAGTAGGATCTCAATGTTTATAGTAGCAAACCTTTCTCCACAAAATCCCTGTATCCTCATTGATTTAGAAGGCATTATGTATCCACTGTTATTTGCTTCTCAAGGCATTTTTAAATTCCAAGGTGTATGCCAGCAAATTTAACAACAACTTGAGTGTTAACAACTAGCAAGTTTGCTAAAAGCTGTTTGGCAAAAAGCTGTTTAAATTGAAACTTTCTTCGTTTCCTTGCTTTTCAACTTGACTTCCTTTTTTTTCATAAAACTAGCAGTTGTATAATAATTTAATGTTTTTCTTATAATCTCTTTCAGGGATTAATTTATAGAGGACTAAAGCCAATTTACTGGTCTCCTTCATCAAGGTTTGTAATTCAATTATTTTTTTGAATCTGTATATATTATATTATATTATGAAAAGGAGCATGTACTGCAGTAAGTGCAAAAATTAGAAATTTATTTGAAATCAGCTGTATTTTGCTATTTCCTGTAATGGTGTTCTTCAGAATCCTTTGAGAATGATAAGTTTCGAAACTAGCAGCTTTAAACTCTCTGTATGCCAATTTCGAGAGAATCAAAACTGCTAAGCAAATTTTTCATTCCTTAAAAACCTGTATTCTCATGAATTTATAGCACCTATACACTATGATGGACTTTCAATTCGCATCTATTACATATCAATTTTGAGTTGAGTTTCGTACCTTTCATCTGGAATTTTAGTTTTCTTGAAAGCTCATTATCCGAGAAACTTTTGCGTTTGCCTTTGCCAATTCTTAAAAATTGTCTCTTTCCCCAACTAAACTTTGTATCTTACAATCAAGGCTTCATATTACTCTGTAACTTTGAAGGTATTTACCATAAACTTAATGAGGAGGTACTTTCTCCTTGAATTTTTTTTTTTTAAGCCTCAGCATTATAAATATTTTCTCAACTTTCAGGACTGCTTTAGCTGAGGCGGAATTAGAATATAACAATGCTCATGAAAGTACTTCCATTTTCTTTCGCTGGCGCTTAAACTCAATACCAGAAATGATGAGATCTGTCATTGGAAGCAGAACTGTTTTTGCCATTACCTGGACCACAACTCCATGGACATTACCAAGCAATGCAGCAATAGCTTTCAACCCAGCCATAGACTATTCATTAATTACTTTTTCTGATGATTCATCAGATGCATATCTAGTAGCCTCAAGTTCGATAAAAAATTTAGAGGAAAAATTAAACAAGTTATGTTCAATTCTTGCTCAGTTCTCAGGTAAAAACATGAATTATCACATTGCTCTTGACTCTCTCTCGTGTCTCTTTGACAAATTTGTTTAGTTTGTACAAGTTTGCTGTTTTCATGGTGAGAAGCGGAGCAAAATAATAAAAAAACCTTGTCACTTTTTTGTGCGACCCTGTAATAATTTGAAATGACGCCCCTGAACACATTCATTGCCATTGCCACCAAGTTTTTTGCAAATGCCTCTACTCATGCCAAGGTGATGGTCAAGTAAATGTGTAAAAATGGAAAAACATTTTGAAAAAATGATAAAGGAAGAATCGGGGTAAATACAGGTTGATCTAATACAACAACGATCAGTAATTGTAAAAAGAAAAAACAAAGAAAAAAAAAATGAGAAAGTCAAATAAGTAAAGTTCTCCTAATTGCAGAGAGAGAAAATGAGAGAATTGCGATATTCTGTGAAAATCATCTGCTGGCATATAGGAGTTTCGAGCCTTTTTGTGTATCTGCTTTGGACAAAAAAACAATGTTTGATGCCTTTAACGTTAACTTCTTCCTTAATCAGTTTTACTTATCTTGCAGGTGTTAATTTAAGCGGTCTAACTTATCAGCATCCTCTGAAATTGGACTCAGTGCAACCTCTTTTAGGGGCGAACTTCGTATCAACTGACAAAGGCACTGGACTTGTTCACATAGCCCCTGCTCATGGACCTGAAGATTTTCTACTGGGTCTTAAGAACAATATTAGTATTGTAATTACTTTTTTTGGTATTGATGAGATTGATCCATTTTCATTAAACTTTTACGGATACACTATGCCAAGTGCAGAATGTATTTTTTATCAGACTAAACTTGCAGTATATTGCCAAAGAAAACTTAAATAAAAGCATTTGCTTACTATGATATCCTATCAGAATTATATATAGTGAGAATATGTTTTACACAAAAAGGGTGGAATGTTAGAAATTTCCAACTCGATTTTAAATTAACGTGTTAGTAGTAATAGATCTTAATTCTGAGCTGGGGCCCCCTCTCCAGAAAAGGTATTGGAGTGGCCATTCATGGCAACAATAATAGATTTTTAAGTGTCCTTGAAAACCTGTCATACCTGGGAACTGAACCAGGACCTCAATGTTTGCAGCAAACTGCTTTAACCACTACACCACCAAGGCTCGCAAATATTAGTTTGTTCACTCTGTCTGGATCAAAAACATGTCCAAAAATAGTTACAGGTACCAATTTTTCTTTTTCATTTGACAAAGGTTACTATGATTTATTCTTAGGATGTTTTTAATTTTCTTAAATTTATTATTTTTCAGAGCAATATCGTTGATGAAAGAGGTCTTTACACCGCTGAAGCAGGAGGAAACTTAGAAGGCATGAATATATTTTGTGAAGGCAAGAAAAAATTAATGGAAATTTTGCGCCCTGATATTTTATTTGAAGAGCCCTTCATCCACAGCTATCCTTATGATTGGAGGACAAAAGAACCCGTAATTTTCAGAGCCAGTCACCAGTGGTTCATTGACACTGAGAAAATTAAGGATGATGCATTGGTAAGCTGTAACTCCATAAGTTATCGAGTAAATAAGTAAGCAAGCGTGCAAGGATGATCATGTGTGAAGCTTCTGGAAATTTGCATGCGTTTAAAAGTATGGTTTACCTCAACAGCCAATGTTGTTCAAATGTGTCTCTCTCTTGCTCACTTTCAAGGTGTGGCACCTCAAGTATCTAATGTGCGGTGCCAAATTCTGCACCTTAAGTGTTAAACATGTTTTATTTCCTTTAAATGGAGCATAGCACCGACTTCAAGTGCTGTCTTTCAAGTTCTTTTCAAGTGCGCTTAACATGCTGCATTTTAAGCTGTTTACTTTACATACTGCAGAGGTGCGGTCTTTTCACAATATGCGCTGGGTTCTCAGAATCTTCAAAATATATCAAAAGGCTGCAGAACTCCAATTTGGTTTTGTTTTTGTTTGAGACCACAAAATTCGTCATGGAAAGAATTTGGCCTCATAACCTTACAATCCACCAAGTCATGTTATGCCGAAGCATCTTTTGATAGAATACAATAGCGACTTTTCGAATATCTATCCAGAAGCCATGACAACAGATTATTTGGGTAAATATTTTTAAAGGGATGTGTTGGATACAATGTGATTATGATTAAAAGATCAGATTTTATTTTGAGTCGGCCAATGGAGAGTGTCACAAGAACACATGTAGACGGCCGAATCTGACGAATCAGCAGAAGGTATGATTTAGCAAAAATTTGAGATTCCACGTCCAATATAAGTAGAAATTCCCACCTTTTAAAAACAGCTGATTACTTTGTCTACCATTTACCTTGGTCTCATTTGTGATAAATGCGGAGCAACCATTTGAAACTTTATTATTCACTGATTAATTAATGAAACAAGTTGAAAGAAACAGTAATATGATCGAATGTTAAGAATTATGCCTCTTATGTGGTTTTCAAAAGGCAAAGTCTCCAGTAATATTGTACGTGGAAACTTTTAGTTTGAATGAGTCTCATCACATTTTAAATTCCTTTCAGGTTTCCTATGAAAACTTGATCTTGTGACACATGTGATTGACCCATGAAACACTCTCTCCTGAAGTGATCGGAGTTGCTAGCTGTAATGAAACTGCAGGCCCAACACAAAATTATCAAAATTGATCTTGCTCACTCTTGGCACTCTAATATACCTGCATGCAAATTCAGTGTTTTATATTTTCATGAGTTATAACATACCGATTGTCAAACTCTCAGACCAGGTATCTCGTTTGCGGTGTTTAAAAATCTCTGCTTCCATTTTATTGTTTTGGAGGATACATTCCTTGAAGTTTTCACTTGAAGTAATTCCTTGAAGTCGTGTAGAGAAGAAAAATCATGGAATTTTTTAAGAATTAATGTTGAGTAGTTTTCCATTGAAAAAATAAAGTATGACAGGATGCCTGCAACGTCGCAAACCGAGGTATGTGATCTGGTAGATTCACAGTTGATATGTGCTATTCACCTTACAACTGAGTTAAGGAGCTCTTTTTGTTTCATCCATCACCATGCTTCATGATAATGTGAGCAAGGTACCATTTTTTGGTCTTTTCAAATCTCAGTTCATTTGTTACTAATTTTACACCCATAATTCATTGTGTCCATTTTTTCTGTTTTCAATCAGAAATCCTTAGAAAATGTCTCTATGGCTGGAGTTAGCAAGATAAAAGAGTTGAAGACTAGACTAGAACAAAGACCCTATTGGTGCATATCTCGTCAAAGAGTTTGGGGCGCTCCTATACCAGTTCTTTATAATGTATCCATGAATGAACCAATTGTCTCCAAGTAAGCAACACCTCCCTCCATGTTGTTTTATAAACTATTCGTTTGATTTTTATCAACGGTCAACATTGAATTTAAGTAGAAGGATCATCCAGAAAGTAAGTTCGCCTATTCAATACGGTCTCTTAATTTTAGATAGATAGAGAAATTATGGAAGTAGTGTTGAGAAACCGCTACTCTCAGCTTTTAAACATGCTATAGAAATTTAAAGGTCCAATAAAACTAAAAAAGTGGGATTCTCTAAATCCCCCTTCTCTTCAAGCAGGTGTAAAATTTTATGGGCTATTAACAGTAAATGAGCTGCTGTATTTGATGCTTAATGCAATTAAGTGACTTACAGATAGTTTCATTGCATGTAAAACATGAGGGAGCTCATCCATTGGGTAGAAAATTTCAAGATTGACTGTGTCTTTTTTTTATAGCAGTTACATCGCTGAATTCTAGGCGTTAACTCTTGCTTGCTGACTGAATCATTCATAATCATTCACTTTATTCTGCTCGTTTGCCAAGATATTCTTTCAACATTTTTTGCTCTGAAAAAATTTACCTTCTATTTGACTCTTTCAACAGGGAGCAGGATTTCCGAAGAATAATAATATTTGTTTTGTTTATTTTTTTATTGTTTGCCCTTAGATCTCTAATAGAACACTTTTGTTTTTTACTGGACAAATTTGGCCCTGACTTCTGGTGGACTGTTCCTCTGGCCGAGTTGATCCCAAAAAATTCAGAAGACAGCATCATGATGAGAGAAAATGAAATCAAGAGAGGTGAAGATATCTTAGATATCTGGTTTGATAGTGGAATTTCATGGTCTTGCGTGCTTGGAAATGACAAAACTGCGGATCTCTACTTAGAGGGAGTTGATCAGCTCACCGGCTGGTTTCAGTCCTCTTTGCTAACTTCAGTTGCAGTCCGTGAAAAAGCTCCTTACAAGAGTATTTTTGTTCATGGCTATGCTGTTGATCAAAATATGCAAAAGATGTCCAAGTCTTTAGGTAATGTGATCAGTCCTGTTGATATAGTCGCTGGAGGAAAAGATCTTAAGAGCCAGCCTGCATATGGCATCGACGTTTTAAGGTAATCTTTTGAAATAATCACTCTTGTCTTAAAAATACTTAGTGACAGAGTCAGGATAATAGCGTAAGTTCACAATTTTCAAGACAACAAAAAAATGCAACATAATACAATTTGGGGTCTAAATTTTAAGTCTTAATTTGCATCTTAGAGAGTGCAATAACGGTGCTTAATGCTGGCAGCAGAGCCCTATCCTCAAAGAGCTGGGCTGCATCAGCTGTTCGTTTTTACTCGAGGGTAAATTTGTGAATTCTGATCTTTTTTTTATAAAAAACTTTTAATTTAAACAAAATCTTGGTAATTTTGGTAATGTGCGTGAAAATTCAGTATAAAACTGTATTTATCATTACAGAGGAAAAAAGCTTATTCGAGCACAACCCCAACACTCTGTTTTTATCACTCATGCGTTTAACTGCAATCTGTTTGCGATAAATTTAATTTTCAATGTAAAATGTTTAAGATGCATGATCAGGAACTTCTGTTTACAGCTCTGAGGCAGATAATTCTCAGTAGAATTGCATCAAAACTTTACTTGCGGCCTCCTCAATTTTGTTATTCTTAATTTTCAAACTGGGAAGTGCTCTGAAAAAATCAATTTGTTTAGTTACTTTGAGTGAAATGATGCAGGATTTACCTCTGCACAGGTATCTAGGACTAATCTAAGGACCTAATCTCAGAAGTTCTAAATTTTTGTTATTACATCTTGGTTCATAGCAAGCACTACTTTTGCTGCCTAAAGATACGTGTCCAGTATTTTTTTTACATGCAACTCTAATTTATGAACAATTCAATTACGAACAATATCATATAACTGCAAATAATGGAGAAAACATATATACTTGCAATTTTGTTTCTTTTTTAAGAGTATTTTTGATAATCTAAATACTCATTAACAGAGTCGTAAGGCTTTGCTTTAAGGTATTTTTTAATTATCTCCAAAATTGCAATTCAGGATCTCTATCTTTAATGATTGTTTTCAGCTTATTGATGGTGAAAGTGCAGAAGTGCGTATCTTGGAAAACACGATTTTCCTGGAGAGAAAAAGAACTGTCTACATTATTGTCAGTAGAAGGGTAATGATTCTTGAGGATGTCAAAAGTAAGATGCTTTTTCAGACTCCATCAACATTTTTAATGATTTCTCGAACTGTTAGAAAATACGGCAGAAATGCCGTAATTGGCGTTTTCAGCCCTAAGAATTGACACTTTATCATGAAATATGCATTTTTGCAATTAGTGTTTTAAACCTGTTGTTGGCGGATTTTGATGCAAAGACTGAAAAAAGAGTTTCACGCTTGCAATTCCTTATCAGAAGCTTTAGTTTGATCTCATACAGCCGGATCAAGCATTGTATGATTGGAAAATGACATTTGATCACGAGATACGCATCTCTGCAATTAGCGTCTTTAACCTACTCTTGATCATTAAGATGAAAACTAGATTTTTTTCTTACTTGATACTTGTTTAGAAGCTTTAGTTGATCCAATACGGTAGAGGAAGCATTGTATGACTCGATTGACTCTAATACAACCGACCTTTGTGATGAACTGTCAGTTCATGATTGCAGTGAAACATGGACATAAATGCAGCGCGCCGCTAATAATAGATATCAATGAAGCAATGATACTGGAGGACCCTCGAGTGATAAGCATTTAATAATTTTTCAAAACCAGCGAATTCCTGAAAAAAAATAAAAACCCAGAACAGCTGATCAGCTGATGTATGCTGTTGGCAGGAAACGCTGGGAAGCGCGCATTGTCAGGCGCGCTGGATCAAATGAAGGGGCCAGAACGATATACGCATTTCTGCACTTAAGCCCGAGATACGCGAAAAAAGTTTTACGGTTTTAGGTGACTTCCCGATATTTTTAGATAATAATCTCTTGCTGGCGGATAGACGACATCTTCAACACCATGTTTATGCAGCTAACTCAAAACTGTCAAAAATCAAGATACGCACTTCTGCACTTTCACCAGCGTTATGGGGTATATTTTTAAATTGGGCACTTTGCCTGATGAAGTGTTAAGGAGGCTTTTAAAGTCTCCTTTAGACTGTCCCAGTGTTCCTGTATACAAAACCGTGTTAAGTTTTGTATCCATGGGAAGGCATAGTGTTTTCCTGGTTTATTTCTCCCTGTGCCACTGCAACCTTTATCGTTTCATAGAGATTGCAGTAACACAAGGAGAAATAAACCTGGAAAACACAAATCCAACACACTGATATAAAACTTGAGACTATCTTCTAGACTAATATAATAATGAATAACTTCTTTATGTAAGTAATACCAGTAAATAATTTTCTAGGTGGTGGGTAGCAGCTCATACTGTCTTTCACTCGAGCATTCCTGTAACGTCAACTGTCCTAACCTCCAGCAAAGACGATTTACAAAAAATTAGATTGATAATGAAATTTCTACTAGGTGCTCTCAACAATTACAGTCCTTGTGACTCCGAAGGTAGCCCCTTTTTGCTAGACAAATACATGTTGAACTGTTTAAGAGAATTTCTGACTCAGGTAAGTCTAATCCAAAATATCTTGAACAATTTGTCACGCTTAAAGTCTTATTTCAAATGTATCTAGTTTGTTGAATGGAACCTCTGGAAGGTGTCTACCTCTATCAATCTGTCACTTTTCCCTCTTCATGTCTAGGAGAATAATCATGGGAGGTTCCAGGGAATTACTTTCATTAGTCTTCCGATTAAATATCAAAACATGTTGGGAGTTTGGCAAGGTTGCAAACTGAGGTACATGCTACCCTAATTTAGCCATTAATTTTATCATTCTTTATTGCTTACCTTTTTGACTGCCTTTTCAATTTGAGTAGAGAAGCAAATAATAAGTAAATATTCATTTTTGGCTCTCTCTATCTTCTAGGTGAACATTTTCCTCCTAGAGCAGCTGATACTTGAGTTAGCTTTTTCCCTCTGTCATGAGAATGTTCAGTCTATGCTGACTTCACGCTCTACATGGGAATTACATGGCTCTTAAACGTTGGAAAAAAAACCGTCTGTAGATTGTGAGCACGAATTTCTCATTTATTAGCTGATATTAGAATAATTACTCAGTTTGTAAATATTATCTACATAAATCTTGATGAGATGAGACGTATGTTTTACCACGTCCCTGTATCATTTCCTGTCAATTACTCTTTCATTTTAGGATAGAGAAGCAATCAATCAGTAAAATATTCATTTTTGACTCTTTTCTTTCTTCTAGGTGAACAGTTTTTACCTTAACTATCAGTTTAACCTTGTGTGCCAGGCCGTGACGAAATTGATCACAAATGAAGTGTCTAGTTTGTACTGCCATTTGACCAAAGACAGGTTTGTGATTAGTTGATTTGATTTTTTACACCCCTACCTAAGTAGCATTCTTTAATGGAAAACTTGCGCTATTTTGAAATTAAGTTGCAAATTTTTTACGATTTTTTGGCGATGAAATAGCTGGGATCCTCAACATCTGAGCGAATATCCTCAATCTTGTTACAATTTTATTTCCATAAAATCGCGATTGACAAAATCGACCGTTTATCTCAATTTATCACGATTTGTTGTCTGAAAATATGACAATAAATCGTTGACAAGGAAATCGCAATTTTGTTGCAAATTTATGTGATGAAATTGCAATTAATCGCATTTTTCATTCTATAAAACTGCAATAAATTGACGTCAATAAAATCGCAATACATTCTCTGATCAGATTGCAACTTATCGCAGTCACTGCTTCGTGGGTAATGAAGCGGCTTACTTATTCTTGAGAAGAATCGTAGTTTCAAGTAATCAAGGTCAGGTCAGGCCAGTTTTTGAGGGAACGTTCACTTTTAAAAGAAATAAGAAACACATTTTAGACCATCAAACCTTTAGACTAATATTTCAATTTTTCTGGGATTGACTTTTGCCAGCTTATTTTTTACATAGACCACATAGAGTCGTAATGTAAATGGGAGAGCTGGGGCCATGTTATGGTCAACGAGTTCCGGGCCCGGTGTGCACCGAGTTTCGGTCCCTTTTCGACACATGTTCGATCCAAGATGGCGGTGTGGAATACATAGTAATTCCTATCTTCTTTGTTTACATCAGATTTCCGGGTCCCTGTGACACAGGAGTCTCAAATGCTTAAAAGAGTACTCCATGATTTTTTATTACTTCTCTCAGTTAAGCGTTAAGAAAAAATCAAGTTTTTATTTGCTGCCTTCAAAAGGCGGTCAGTCAAAATTACTGTCTCTCTGTTTGAAGAACTATTATGTCTACTGGCAACTGTTCATTATATCATTTTATCTATTCAGGTGGTTTTAAAGAATTTAACTGTACCAGTTTACCACTCTAAAGTAAAAATAGATTTATACATATAGGAACCTTTGGTTTGTGCCAAAAAATCTACCCATTATGAACTCCCTCCATACCCAATTATTTTATATGCTATTATTTTTACAGGTTGTATTGTGATGGGAAAGATTCAGTTAGTCGGCAAGCCTGCCAATATACAATGGCTGCAATTCTCAAGACATTGCTTTTTACCATTGGTCCTATAGTACCTCACTTAACAGAGGAAGTTTACTCTCATTTTACAGCGAAAAAAGGTATTGTATCTGTTATTCAGGCAAGCATAATCAACATATATCATTAATTGTTAAATCTATAATATGTGTTAGAGTCACACAGAAGAGCCCTTCAGTTGGAAATTCTAACTGTTCAGGGCATCGAAAATACCGATTTCGGATGAAAAATGAGGATTTTCAGTTTTTGACGCGATTTACTTTCTAATACTTACTCTGAGGATATTGTATCAAAACGAAAAGTCACAGTTTTCATTAATACGATGTTCTTAGAATACCTATATACAGGGCGAGAGTATGACCACTTGCTTACTACTTTATGATTTTTCCCTCAAAATAAACCTTTGTGCTCATACAACCGGGAGTAAACAAACAAGATGGCAACCTCTTATTACCATTTTTTTTTTCAAAATTTACAATATCTTGAAGCATCAATCGTTTATCTCCTCTCAAAAAACCAATCAGCAATATTTCCTAGGCATCCTCCATAAGGTAAGGGAGAGTGCTTGCAGACAAGCTCTACAGCGTACAAATATTTTGAACACGCTGCTGTGAGAGGTGGATGTGGAGAAAATGATGTCTTTGTGAATCAGTGGACCAAATTCAAGAAACAAAAGCTTTTTCAGCTCTTCAGCTTCCAGCTGAGAGTGTGACAAATGTGAAAGTTTTCACCAAGTGTATTCATCCTCACTAGTTCTAAAGATGATACAAATATATACCTTTACCTCATGAATAACCTTTGTATATAGAAGAAAGGTCTCAATTAAAGGCTCACTTCTAACATACCATGAAAACCTTACTTGTACTTACAGCATACTCAGGTGCTCTGCGTCATCCAGGTCTGAGAGCCCTCAAATCCTCTTAATAGAGAATTTGCAGGTGTCTGAAATTTTATGAATTTCGTGTTTAAGTGGAAACTACTGAGTGAACTGAACACGAGGATACCCTTGGTTCATGAATTGAACAATTATTGGAGAAGATATTACAAAATGATCTAATCTGCTAAAATACGTGTGTTTAAATGGGAAATGCCGCCAGATGACGTCATTAGGCCGTGCAATTTCTCACTTTTAAATCTATTTTTATTCTTTTTCCCATATCAGAAAGTTATTCCAAAAAATACTGTGAAATCAGCTCTAAGCATTTTAGATGAAGCAATAAAAAATTTGCATGCAAATTCTCCATTTGGGATTCAGTTATTTTTGTTTAAATGCTAAAAGCTCCAGAAATATTTTTACTACCCTGTGCCTCAGTTTTTGCACCCTATACTGTTTGTACCAACACGCTAATTTTTCAAATTTTTTGTTTTTATTTTGGAGAAAAGCGGGTAGTTCATACTTTTCCTCAGACCATAATTTAGGTATTGAAAAGTGGTGCTATCCGGAGACCAAAGAAACAATTGAACTCCTACTAAAAGTGAAGGATGACGTCTCTTCAAAGTTACCGCCCTCAAAGAGAATCTCTGAATGCGATTTATCGGTCGTTGCTTCCTCTCAAGTTTATAATATTTTACAGGTTGGTATTCTTGTTCCAGTTTTATCAAACCATTTTAATCCTAAAATTCTTAAATTTCACATAGTGTAGTCTTCAGGTTTTAGGACGTGGTTTTACCAGTCTAAAATGAAAACCTAGGTGGAAAATAGCGTGAGTAATGTTGTGTCAACATAATTGCATTCAAAGTTTAGTTTATGAGACTTGAAATTTAGGTTTTCTCATCGTAGTAAGACTTGGTGGCCTATTTTGTCTAAGCAGGTTTTGGTTTTTGTGACAAGTGGGAAGTTTGAATTGACAAACTTAGGAAACACTAATTTTTCATTTTTGTGATTGAATTAAGAAAATTGGGATAACTAAGCTCGCATGGTTGTGGTTAATTTCTTACCTCGTCCAATGGTTTATTGGCTCGCCCAAAGAGGTGCCTACCCGCCAAGGCCAATCTACAAAGGTCAGTTATTGCCCATCGTTTTGGAATCTACTCCCCCGCCTGGTCCTCACTCGACCACAGCCAATGTAACTAATTATCAGCTGCTCCCATGAGAAAGGCATAACATTTATCTTCCTGCTGCAGTGTGCAGTAGGGTCTCAAAACTCCTCCACGGGGAAGACTGAGCTGTGCAGATTAGTTTTGATAGCTGCATTCTTAATCAAGTTTATATTACTGATCGATGTGATAACCATTAATCTCACCAGTATTACTGTAAATTCATGAAAACTATGATCATTCGTAAATTTATTTTTCTGAAAGGATTTTTTTCTTTTTAAATAATGCTTAATTATTGTCGTGGTGTTGCTCTGATTTTCTTTATTTATATTTTAATAGGTTATCAACAAATCAGACATGATTGAGCTTCTGCAAGCAGCAAATGTAAGTGTTGCACAAGATGCCTCTCTAAAAGAAGGCTTTCATCTTGAGGTGGACTCAACATCTAACCATTTTTGTGAGCGATGTCGGCTATATGCCTCTACCTCTGCAGATTCATTATGTCAACGCTGTACGCAAGTGCTTCAGTCAATTTAATTGTGAAATTATAGACGGCATCTTTAATTCCTCATCATCACCCGTTGTCAAAGTTAGGAAATATTCAAATAAATGTTTCCAATTCAACATCAACTGACTTCATTTCTTTGTAAACAAGATTTATGTTACCAAAGGCGAACAAACTCCACAGAGAACAAAAGGAGGATTTACCACTTGATTGTCAAGAGTATAGTGACCTACGGGTGTGAGGTGTGGTCGATAAAACAGCGGACCCCGGAGGTTTTAGAGACAGTGAAGATGGACTTCTGGCGTAGATCCGCTGGTATTTCCAGAAAGGATCACGTCAGGAATGAGACGATACGGGAGATCATGGATGCCAAACAGACCATCAAACATGACATAATGACTAACAACTTATTTGGTATGGCCATGTTCAGAGAATGGCAGGAGAAAGAATGCCAAATTGATTGGGTTCCTCCTGGGAGAAGGCGCAGAGGCAGAGGGCGCCCAATGGGAGGGCGGAGGGATGGGATTGAAGAAGAAATGTTAAAGTGCTTACTAAATGGTCAAAATGCACCCCTGCTTTTTAGTTTTATTTCTCTTGAGAGATGGGAAGGAGAGATGTGCCCAAAGTTGAAGGGCAGGCAATGTGTGAAAAATTTCTCTCAAAATCCAAAACTCATTAGATAAAATTTGGCTCCGGAATTTACTCAAGGGAGCAAAAAAAAATCAGAAAAGAAGAAAAGGGAAAAAGAGAGAGAAAAAAATGAGAACAAGATTGACAGAAGGTCTGTTTAATCCCAAAACTGCGATAAAAAAGAAAATTTAAAAAAGTACAGAAAAAATAAAAAAAGGTAGCTTCAGTGCCAATTTAGTACAAATGTCTGTCAAAGATTTTCTGTCTTGACATCGTTAACAGCTTCAGTAATGGGATTAGTAAAAAAACAATATCAGATTTTAAAATGTACACACTTGTTTTATTGATTGAAATCAAATGGAAATTATCCACACTGATAGATAGAATGACTATTTGAGATCCTTATGGGCAAAGCTTGTTTTGTACAAGAAATATATGATACAATAAAATATTTTTCTTTTTAAAAATGTTGCTTTTCACCATTTTTAAATTCCTTGATACAACGAGGAAAAAGACGTAAAAAGGAAAGAAAGAGTTGGAGCCGAGCTGAATCCTCCACAGTAAGAGTTTTCATTTTGAACTAAGCACATATGATCTTAAAATCATTGTGACTGCGTAATAAATAAAGTTAAAATGGTTATTACAGAGGTACATTTTGAGAGAGCCTATTAGCTAGGCAATGTTCCTTTATTTTAACTTATGACTCGAGTTTCACTTGGACATTAAGTATTGCCAAAAATTTCTGCCACTGCTCAGGTTTGAGCCCAGAGTGAGATGATTTTTTGGAGCTTGGTTATATACAAGAAAGAAGGTGCTGAATTTCATCAAAGAAAGACGGAATAAATGCGGCTGCAGAATCATTTTCTTTCTTTACTCATTAAAGATTACATGTAAATAAAGTTGAATCTGCAAAAGAAAATATGAAACACAAACATTAACAAAATTTAAAAAAGGCAAGGCAGAATTTTTTATACAAACACAAACGACAGCTGCATAATACAAAAAAGTTGCCTTCGAAATATGTAAGTGTCACTCGCTAATAACACACTTAGGCAAATTACAACTGGGTTGTAAAATACAAAGGCAAACAACTATCATATCAATTCGCTTGGACCGTTTACAAACGCTAGTTAAAAACCTGACTACCTAAAGAATAGCCAAAAAATTGGGTAAAAATGTGATTTAATTAGAAAAGTGTCATAAATAATATGGTCAAATGCCAGGTCTGAACTTGACACCACTTCATAACCAAGGGTAGCATGTAAATTGAAAAACTTGAAGTTAAGGCTTGGGCACTTTTTTCTACTGGCTTGTAAATTGCCAACAGTGACTAAGCCAATTTCAGAATGACTCACATTTTCAAATTTTTTCTAGGATGTTTGTCCCCCACTTAGGTATTTTTTGAGCATTTGTGCATGGCCTTGGCAAAATGACCCAATGATATTTTCCTAGGAATTCTGCGCGCTGATTGTGAATTGCCGCAACGCGTATGTAATCGGTCTGCAACACATGATTTTTCATGACAGCCTTCTTGGGAGAGATATCAATTAGGGGACAACAATAACTATGTGTTTCATTGAAACCAGATGGACGTTCATCAAGTTTTCAGACAAAAATGCCTGTATGTACATATATCAGTTATCCTAGAGAGCAATAGACCTCTGCCAATAGAAAGTATTCTTGGAATATAAAGCTTTCTCTCCAACATAAAAAAAAAAAAAAAAAAAAAAAAAAAAAAATAAATAAATAAAACAAATCAGATAAAGTAAATGAGGAATAAAAAAAAAAATAAATTTTACTTCCTATAGTGAGCAAAAATACAGAAACTAGTTATACCGGTTTGATTTGGAACAAATTAGCAATGGGGTGAAGGACCAGAATGCATAATTTATCAATGGTTAAAATACTTCCAAGAGGCATGACTCATAAAGTTAGGCTCTGTGTTATTTTCATACTATGTTAATCACTTCGTCATTTCAGTGAAGTATCAGTTAATTTTAGTCAGACATGGATGAGAACAGAATCGAAAATATAGGATTAGGGCTCACCTGCAAAGTGCTTGAGGTAGGGAGGAAATGATGGGTCCGTAACCTTGCGAGTTGTCATACAATTCAAACAATGGAGCTGCTACTAATTTGTAATTTTTTGGAACTGCAAAGAGGGCTATTTCAATTAAAGAAAAAAAATAACTGAATTAGTGATAAGAAGTACACTTGATGTGGGCATAAGTATGAGACAGAAGTATGTAAAGTAAATAAGTCGAGAAAATTACAGAAAGGTACACTTCTTCTGAATACTAGAGAGAATTAGCCAAGGAAAAACCTGTGAGCACTATGAGGGTTTTCCAGTTAGTTCAGATGTAGCTCTAAATCTCGTTTCTTCATTTTTCGTCAGTTACTGGGTTTTGAAAAGGAAAATAAATTAATCCTCTGCAGAGGAAGTTGTTCTTCTAGATTATAAAAACTGAGGACTTTAAATTAGCAATTGGTAAGTATTTTTCCCATGACAGAGAATCAAATTTAAATTCCTTGAGATCAGAGTATATAAACAAATTAACAGCCACACTAGTAAATAACTAGTCATAAGAGCTACTGTAGATCCCATGATGACATTACTGTGGACAGCAAAATTTGGAGTGGTCTATTGACACTGCTGGCAACGAGCATTATACAAAAATACAAGGCCCACGACCGTGATATACATATTGTTTCATCTTGATTTTTCCTTATTTTTTTATCTTGATATGCCCAGTGCCGTGAGTGCAGCCAAAGCACAGACAAAAATTGCTGAGTCAGTCAAAATGTCGGAAACAATATGTTTGCATGCAAAAAATTTAAGAAATTAAAGTTACATGCAAGTCGGGTGATGTTATTTAGTACATAAATCCATTGATAAAACCAGTAAAGTGGCTGTTATAAGTTTGGCAATGGGAAAAAAATCAAAGTTATTATAGCATTTTAAAAGTACAGCCAGCGTGTATTAAAACGTTGCAAGCCATGTTGGACACATGAACCTAGCACTTAAATGTTCCTTTGGTGCCGTGTCGCCTGACACTAACAACAACTGACAGCAAACTATTGACAAAATGACAATGACTGTGCGCAAACTTTACGCTACAATTTTTTTTACCCTGGTTCTAGAGTTTCTCCTTTATTTATATTGAATGCTTATCTAGAGCCACAGAAACAAATGTGTAAAAGCTTATTGGTAAAAAGGGAATTGAAAATTCGTCATCAACGAAATCAATTATGTCACATATGACAAACGACGAGCTAGATCAGTGAGACTGTATACATAAATATATATTACAGAATATGTAAATTAAAAAAGATATACTTCTGAGAGATAACTTGACCTCAAAATACATATGGCATTATTAGACTTTCTCACTACAATTAATTTAGATCGTTCCGATTTCACTGATTAGGTGATGTCAAACACTCATATCAAGAGAGTAACTGAGTGTTCTATGGGACTTTCACGACTGAGTTGATTACTCACAACTGCAATGGGCCAGTTGGGTCATGATGAACTTTTGAAATCCAATAATTTTTTAATGGAATCCCTCGGAAATTTAAAGGCAAAAAAGTATTTCTAAAATTCTACATCCACCACACAGAGGATAAAAATAATGTGATGTAAAATGACTCTAAATCATTTCACTTAACTGGAAGGAGACTCTATTTATAAAAAAATTGGACCAATCATTAATTTAATTCTGATCCCAAGACTGGAGAGTTCAATTCGTATCTCTTTCATTTGGTTGGTAATTGTTTAATTTTGCAAAAGCGATACTATTTCACAATAGCTCACAAGAACATTGCCTCTTGTGTCCATCTCCCATTTGGATGAAATTTGAGATATTTTTCTCACTACTGGGCCTTAGAGAAGCCGCGATAAATTTTTGAAAATTGCAAATTTTGAACCTATGGACTACAATTCCCCAAAATTTCATCCACATCAGGGGCAGACACTAGGAACCTTGTCCTTGTCGGTAGAGATATCATCAAACAAATCTCATGATAACAAGAGCAGATAATTCAGAAAGTGCTAAAAAACTGAACAACATTGTTCTTGAGGAATACATATTTTGTAGATTAGAACCTGTGATTTCAGTGGAAAAGAATGAGCGAGTGAGATTTTGCAAATTGGGGAGATTTTTTCATTTTTGTGGTGAAATCTAATATCTACATAATGTTAATTTTGCCTCAACAAAACATCCAGAAAAGATCAAAGGGGGCACTAAAGGCTGTATTCATTGTTGCACCTTAAACTTTGAGGTCTCCTTAAACAGGCTTTTACATCTAAGGAACCAATATGAAAACAACTCTCATTCTCTTTTTTCCTCGGACGAATCTCCTCTGATTCACTGGAACTAATTCCTGTGCTTACATTCCACTATAAATGACTGGAAATTCAAAAAAGTGATACGGTTCTTACTTAATCAGGTCTACATTAAACACAGAGGCTGAGCAACGCTGTCAGGCCAATATAATCGGAGGTCAGCAGCCTGATTGTTGACATTTTGTGTTTGTCGGGACGACATAGACAACATAGGTTAAAAGGCTGAGTGTGATTGGTTGGCTATGTCTTTTAGCTGCTTTGTCGGGCCTATGTCAGGTTGACCTCACGACAAGCTATCAGCACCTCTTAAGTTTCCGACAGTATGTCGTCCATTCCACCTGACAAAGGCACGACAAGGCAGCGATAAGAAATAGCCAACCAATCTCCCTCCGCCTTTTAACCTATATCATCTATGTCATCCTGACAAACCAAAAATTTCAACAATCAGGCTGCAGGCGTACCATTGGTGTCTGACAAGCCCCCAAGTCATGCTTCTGCTCACTTTTTAATTGGAGTGGAAAGGAATATGTTTGAGACGTTTGGTAGGATTTTAAGATGGAGGTTGAATTGATTCAGTATCATATTGATGACATTCACTTATTAACCATTAGTAGCTGATGTTATCCCAAAGTTATGATTGCTGTCAGACACCATAGGATGATACGACCGCCAACGTGTTTAAGTTCAGAAACCTGGTCACTTTACGCTCTCAAAAAAGCGTCTCCCTCTATCTCCGTACCTTTCATCAATGTACACTCTGATTACATTGCTGTCAAAGAATAAAAAAATGACTTGTGTGACAAAAATAGTAGCATGGCAGTGAATTTTCTTATTGGTAAAATGTAACCGACAAACAAAGTAAGAACTTCCTAAAAAGAGGCATGATAAAGAATATTTGCTACGAAAGATTATTCATTACATTCTTCTTCTCTGACACATCAAAGATCACAAAATTAATCACCACATGAACATTAATTTTGCGGAGTGACAAGCAAAACTTTTGATAATTCAAAAGCTCACCAGATTCTTGAGTACAATGTGAATTTAAATTATACCCTCTGACAACTACATATGTTGGGTTGCCTCTATATTTTGCTTTCTTTCTGGTCTTTACTCTCCCCTCTTCTTCACTAAATACGATTCATATTTTTTTTGTTCAAGCTACAATGCGATAATTTTCCTATATAAAAAGTTAATCAATCAAGGTCTTTCCTTTGACTGTCACTTTAATCCGATGGTTAGAGCTCTTCATTTGCTTGCATGAGAATTGCTGTGAAGTTTGTAACTTTGTTGTTTGTTCATAAATTACGTCACCGCAAGTATAGGGTTAAGGTGGGCGGTCTAGTCGTGGATGACGGGGAGGGGTCAAGTCAAGGATGAAATTAGCTTTCCTGAGGGCGAAAATGCTTGCTAGAAATTTGAGGAGGGAAAATTATTTTTTTATTTTGCAATAAATAATTCCAATTTTTCTCAAAGCAATAAAGTTTGCGTTATTTAATTTGTCAGCTAGTGATATATGTCGCCTTAAATTTTTTCTTTTTTAAAAGAACATGACATATATTTAATACTCAATAAAATCAATTAATCATGTTCTTAACATTGCAGACTAAATCTACTGATTTTTATCAATTTTCTGCGTTTTCCCCCAAACTGAGGGGGGGGGGGGAAATTGAAAAAAATGGGTGACGTAATGTATGGACTTACTGATCTTAACTTTTATAAAACCAAGAGTTGACTAGACCTCCGAGCACAGAAACGTGAGTGATCAATTGCTTGAAAAAATTCCTGATGGAGTTAAGATATTACTGTTATTCCAAAATTAATTTTAAAGTATGGATCAGAAGGGAAAATTTGAGTATACTTCAAGGTGGTAAATAATTATGCATCTTTGATGTTAAACATAAAATTTTGGGGTAAATGGTGAAGGAAGGCTCCAAAAGAGGTTTTGAAAAAGAGATCACCATCTGGTAGCCGCAGTAAACTGTGAAATAAACAAATGGATCAGTATTGTTGTAGAGAAATACGTATGCACACAGTTTGAAAAGATAACTAAGTAGCAAAAGTAATGGAATTTTTATATTTTCCCTAGTAAGAAAAGATGTCTTTCACCAAGCAGTTATATTGTTCACCTGTTCATGGTAATGTATGGCGATGTAATTTGAGGAATGCTATGAATCAATTTTTCAGCCCTGAAAGGGTGTTGCGTGCAAAAATGAAAGTCAATAAAAAAAATGACGTCATATTGGGACTAAATAACCAAAGACTAATTGAGTTCAACCATCAGAAACTCAGGAAATTTTTGTGTTGGACGCGTTAGTATTTCTTTGGTAACAGAATCTGTTCACTACTAGGGAGGGAAAATTAATGATAAAATTACCTTTCTCTGCTAACTGAACAAGGAATAGTCTTTTGTGTTCTTTCGGTTTTGTTATGTGAGGGGGCACATATGGATACTGTGGGGGCTCAAAGTTAGGTCTCCACCAGTTACCAATTGTATCTTCAACGACCCAGTCTTGTTTCACTCCATCCTGTCTACCGAGGGTCTGTAAAAAGTTACATGATTAAGCTGAATGAAAAGCCAAACATTAATGCCACAAAATTAAACAAAATGAACATAACAGTGAAAATCTGAAGATGAATTCCAGCCAAAAATGTTTCGATTTTCCGATTTTCTGTTTTCCGATATGAAATTAGTTGAAGACAGATAATCTTCTTAATATTATACCTTTGTTTATGGAGCAAATCAAATGTAAATGGATATAATGTAAATTTATCATTTTACTGTTTTTGACCTTAAAAGAACAGCAAACAAACTTTGAAGGATTGCTGAAAATTTAGACTGCATTACCTAAAAAGGAGACTATTTCCACTTTATTTGGACTAATCTTGGCAACTAGGAGCCATTATTTCTGGCTTATTTTAGAGCGATTTGTGCAGTCAGTTTTCCTGTGCAGATAAGTGCCTCTAAACTTGAGCCAGAAATAGCAGCTCCTTGTTGCAAAATGTGGTCCATTTGTATCATTAATTTTTTATATAAATAGGTGCTTTCACAGAAGAGTTGACAAAAGTAGATCTGTTTAGGTCGGTAGGTTAGGTCTCTCCTTTTGCATATTGTCATGAGGCTGATTGTTGAAATTGGTAGACAAAGAAGACAAAAGGGATATGGAGGCATCCTATTGGTGGAAGCGGATGGTTGCGATGGTCAAAGGACTTAGATAATAGACTATCTAACAGCAACCCACTAGACACCCCATGATAGTTCATCATTTACTCCCTTTGTCTACAGGAACCACCTGTTTCAACCAATGGGATCGCTCCATACTCCCTATGTCTTCATTGCCTATCAATTTCAAAAATCAGCCTGTGGATGTCTTGCTGTCAAGGATTGTTGGGCAAGCACCATTCAATACTCTTCATATTCTGTCTAAAGCTGGTATTATCTCAAGTGTCCCATCCTTTTACCTCTTCTGGGGATGGCCTTAACACTTCTTTATTGCGTAATGTAGTTAATTTAATGGGTTTTGAAGATTCCAGCTCTCTCCCTGAGTTTCCCTTTTTTTCAGGAACAATAGGGAGGAAACTGCTCAAAATTGTCCTTAAATATCAACTTTGATTAAATTTAAACTGTGTTGAGATGATTTTGGGAAAAAATCCTCTTTCTCTGACTTTAAGTGATCTTGACAGTAAAGAAAAAGTTCTCTTTTACTCACTAGAGGTGGCCAATAATGGTTAAACTTCTGTTTTGGTACCAAAGCTGAATGCACAGCGTGGAAAACAAAGATTTCGGTGGAAAAAGAAAAAAGTGCTGTGAGTGCAAACCCTGGGTTCTGATGCTTGCTTACTTAGTGCAAGGTGACCGCATTCGGCAAATCAAAAGCTGGAAGTCTGGGACTAAGCCAAAAGTAATGAAAATAAATTTTCCATGTAAGCTTACATTTCCTTCTTTTTTTTTCTTCAAACCTTCAGAAACAACAGACACAACACAGGAAACAGACGTTTTTTGGCAAAATGAAAGAAAGAAAAAAAAAAACTTACCTCTGTTAGAAGTCTTTTTAAGCCTTCAACTTCATCTTCTCCAGGACTCAGCTCTCCACCAGGGCTGCAAAAATAAAAAGCACATCAACATTATACAATGTATTTTGGAAAATTTCTGTAGTTATGGAAGAAATACTGGAGGGATTCACTTAAAGTGGATAACTAGTAATCGAATGTAGGAGCATTAATCTTCAAAACTAGGTATGCATTGTATAAAATGTACGTAAGTATGCAATATGCGCTTGTTGTGCGCCTTTATGTCCTCGGCACGATCAAACTAGCAATACTGCTTGGCAACCCCCAGTCTAGTTGCCAGATTTCCAGGAACTCATGGCCTTGTAGGCACTGGAGAGCCGTCACAACTTTTCCACTGTAACTTTTGACTCTAGCAAGTCTCCTCTTTGAAGTTTTCCTCTCTCTTGGATGATAGTACTATTGACTTTTGACGAAATTCTCAACAAAATTAATAGGTCCAATATTGGGTAGTGCCATTTTAAAACTTAAAATTTGCACAAGAGTCATTTTTTGAGTTATGCCCGGTTCTGTAATGAATGTCTGAAAGGAGCTCTTTAAGGGCTTACTAAGTGAAGGTGTCAACCACAACAAAAGGTGAGGTGGCCCCTCATTGTCAGTTGCATATCTATACGCTGGCGATCTCTATCGAACAAAGCCAGTTTTCGCAAACTTTCTTTGTCTAATAAAAGCTCAATGGGAATTCCAAAATTTTGGATTCAAACTTGGCTTTGCCTGTGCACTCAGCATGCTCAATTTCATCAAAGACTGAGGTGTTCAATTCTCCTAAGTGCCACCAGTTGGCATGCAATTGACTGCAATCTTTGACAACTGAAGTGTTCAGTCTTAGTACGTCTTAACTCTCTTGTAGGTCTCTGTAGGTTCAATAAAATTTCATATTTTAATTCTGCATTAATTTTTCAAATTATGATGTGTCAAGAGCATTATTAAGAATTGTAAGAATAACTTACAGCTTGAAGAATGTTGTGCCCAGTTGAAGCAGTAATACGTGTGGTAAACCATGCTCATGAACCAAAAGGACCCCTTCTACGCTTCGCCGCATGCCAATTTTTTCAAATTCTTCTCTCATTCTCTGAAACCGGGCTGGTACTGAGGGATCTTTTTCAAACAAAGGTTCTTTGGTTCCAAAAGTGTAATTAGTAAGTGGGTATCTGAAAAAGAGAGAAAAATAAACTGAGAACACGTGGATGACTTTTCAGGTATAAGTAAGAGATATAAGTAAAGTGCAATTCTAAGATTGACAAAATGATATTATTTCCAGATACTTAAGCGGCCGTTGCTAAATTACGTAACACTCTAGGACGGAGATGGGTTGGGGAGAGCTTTACACTGTTTTGTTTAAATGTGTTACAGGATAGGGACCTACATCGTATAAGGGGGGGGGGGGATCAGTCAAAGGTGCTAAAAAAGTACGTTATTCAATTTAGGGACGGCTCCTAACCCAAATCTAGCTGCTGTTCCCTGATATCATCAGGTTTGAGGTTGTGTTGGGGGATTTAATAAGCTGCGAGAAAGTTTCAGCCGACCACAAAATGTTACTCAAGAATAAATATATCTCTTTCTTCTCAAAAACTGCATTCATGTCTAACTTTGCCTGCAAGATACTTACATCTGATAGTGAACCATTGGATACTTCCAGGTGAAATGATGAACATGCAACTGTAATAGAGCGATGATACTGATCTTACAAATGCTGTTTTCACTCAAATACTTAAGCATAGATTTTAGAGACTACGCCAACAGAGGCGAAAGTTACGCAGGAACCAATGTTGACAATTTTTCCGACTCCTGGCCATCTTGCTTTTTAATGAGATGAAAGAAACGCTTTCCAACAGACAAAGGGCGAACTGCCCAAAACGTCTTCCGTCAACATGCCGCAGATGTAAATTCTCCTTACTCAGACACTTAAAAACTGAGACTGCTTCGTTTTCATGAAATCCCCTGTGGCTTGTGCTTCTATTAGCATAGTCTCTTTATACCAGTGCAAAAGAATGCATGGAGGCGATAAAACTATGAAGATGGTTAACATTGTATTGGACTGTCGTATCCTGATCCGGAGCAATATCTAAAGAATACTTAACGAAGAAGTTTAACTTACAAATTAATGGGACGATTGATCATGGGAGGCTGCTGAGAAGGAAACTTATTGTCGAAAGTTGTTTGATTTGCATTAGATGTTCGGCGCGGCCAGCCACTGCCGGGACCCATGGTGCCTGAAACAGGTTTGATTTGTGGAGTAGCCATGACACACAGCACTAAGTTCTTATCACGCTGTTGAGCTACTAATTCGCAACGAAAAATTAGTTTGATTTGAAACGGTTAATGTCACATATAATTACAATAAAATCCTTAATATACGATTGTCAAATTCGGAAATTCTAAACACACTTCGACGCCATGCACGACTTTTTGTTGTAACCTCTTCTTCTTCCCTTCCCTTCTCTTCAGGGTCGGGGTGGGGGGTGTTGTTGGCTTGCCAGTGGGATAGCGCTCTGATTGGCTATTTTGCATATACGTCATCTTGAGGCTCAATTCTCACTTTCCAATTGGTTCATTTTCGGCTTGAAAGTTTTAGGTTAAGTTATCAATAATTCTAACTAAAAAGAATCGGATTCACAACACACTAATTTTGTTTCCAAAGTTGTGTACACGTGTGATATGATGTGGTGTGGTACAACCTAGTTCGTTTACTTGTACTTGTACTGAGTGATTTCTAATTTCTAGTAATACAGTTCTGTCAAAGGTTTCAGTCAGTTCCTTCCAACATGCCCACAATCAATATCAAGCGAGACGTATTGTTCAAAGCTTTGAACAAAACTTACACTGACGATGAATTTTCCCAACTCTGTTTCGAATTTGGTTTGGAATTGGATGAAGTCACTTCAGAGAAGCAGATGATCTCGAAGGAGCAAGGAAAAGAGCAATCATCCGGTGCATCAGAAGAAATCATCTACCGAATTGATGTTCCTGCAAATCGTTACGATCTATTGTGTCTGGAAGGTTTGGTCAGTGGACTCCTTGTGTTTCTTAAGAAAATAGAGCCACCCAAATTTAAGTTAGCGCAGGTCCCTGATACTTCCCTACAAATCTTACGAGTGACGTCTGCCACTCAAGCCATCCGTCCAGTGGCAGTTGCAGCGATTCTAAGAAATGTTTCTCTTACTCCCGATTCCTATGCCAGCTTCATTGACCTTCAAGACAAGCTGCATCAAAATGTTTGTCGCAAAAGAACTTTAGTTGCTATTGGCACCCACGACCTCGACACAGTGCAAGGACCTTTTGTTTATGACGCCCTTCCGCCTAAGGATATCAAATTTATTCCTCTTAATCAACAAAAGGAATATGATGGGCTTGAGTTAATGGATCTTTATTCAACGCATGCACAATTGAAACAATATCTTCCAATTATTAAAGATAGTAAAGTGTTCCCAGTCATTAAAGATTCTAATGGGATTGTACTCTCTTTACCCCCAATCATTAACAGCCATCACTCCCGCATTTCTTTAAAAACCAAAAATATCTTTATTGAATGTACTGCTACGGATAAAACTAAGGCAAAAATTGTTTTGGACACCCTTGTTTGCATGTTTAGCCAGTATTGCGACAAAAAATTTGTTGTTGAGCCTGTAAGGGTGGAAACAATAACTCCTGACGGAAGTGAATTGGAGACATATCCGGTGCTAGCATACCGCAAAGAGAAAATTGTTGTCAAGAGTGTAAATAAGTATGTAGGAGTCCATGAATCAGCTGATAGTATAGCAACATTACTGTCGCGTATGTGTCTTAAATCGAAGCAGACTGATGATAATCATGTTGAGGTAGAAGTCCCTCCGACGAGACATGACATCATCCATGCTTGTGACATATATGAAGATGTAGCAATTGCCTACGGTTACAACAACATTGTGAGAAAAATGCCCTCAATATCAACTGTGTCTCATCAGTATCCCTTGAACAAGCTTTCAGACCAAATCCGAGGCGAAATTGCTGAATGTGGTTTCACTGAGGGTTTGACTTTTTCATTATGCTCCAGAGATGACTTAGCAACAAAATTGCAGAAGAAAATTGAAGATATACCAGCTGTCCATGTAAGCAATCCCAAAACATTAGAGTTTCAAGTAGCACGAACTACACTTTTGCCTGGTCTCTTGAAAACGCTAGTGGCAAACAAAAAAATGCCTCTGCCCCTCAAGCTGTTTGAGGTATCAGACGTTGTGTTAAAAGATGCTAGCACAGAAGTAGGAGCGCGAAACGAACGACATCTTTGTGCTGTGTATTGTAATAAAACTCCCGGTTTTGAAATTATCCATGGGCTTTTGGACCGAGTTATGCAATTGCTAGAAGTTCCAAGGGATAAAGAAAAAGGTTACTATATCACATCGTCTGATGATGTCACCTATTTCCCACAGCGCTGTGCCCAAATTCTTTACAGAGGTAAAGTCATAGGTCTAATGGGTATCCTACATCCGAATGTTCTGTCAAATTTTGAATTAACCATGCCTTGCTCTGTTTTTGAAATTAATATTGAGCCTTTTGTCTAATTTTGTCGAAAAATTGACTGTCATAAATCTTTGTTCATTTAAAACTACAATTTATTGTTGATTCTTTGTTTCTTGACCTTATGCCTAAAATTAGTTGAAGGAATTCTGATCCGTAGCCTCAGTTTTCATTTTTTCACATAATATCAACAGTGAAACTCAAACTAATGCCTCTCGGTTTACAAAGTTGCAGTCTTCCTGTCATACTTAAGGTGATTCGTCAAGTTCAAGTGACGTGGTTGAACTGGCATGCGATATATTGCATCAATGAGGTCAAAAATCTATGCAGATTTTGAATCTTTAGGGAAAAAAACGAACGTTAGCTCCTGCGCATGAGCCTAGAGAATCATTCTAAACCCAAAAATCGGCAAAATTCAGAGAAATGAAAGCAGAATCATGTTTGGAAAAAAACCTTGCATTCGATACAGAAATCGATAACTGAATCGAATGCAAGGTTTTTTCCAAACACTATTCTGTTTTCATTTCTCTGAATTTTGCCAATTTTTGGGTGTAGAATGATTCTTTCGGCTCATGCGCAGGGGCTATTGTCTTTTTTTTCCCTAAAAATTCAAAATCTGCCGAGACTCCTGACCTAATCATTGCGATATATCGTATGCCAGTTTGACCATGTCACTTGATCTTGACGAATCATATTAATTTGTTAATTAAAAAACTACCCAACATCAATTTTTTAAACAATTCCAGATTTTCCTTCATTGTTCAAAGAAAATTCTGTGAAAACTTTAAAGAATGATGTTGTTTTATTCTCTTTCAAATAAATTAAATGGGAACAGAGATTTTAAAACACTGCAAAGGAGATGCAATGGTTTGGGAGTTTCAACGTCGATACTCAGGCAAATTTACTCACAGCACAAACTGAAAATAGAAGGTGTAGTTCTAGGTATTGATATAGGTTGCTCTAAATTTTTTTAAGAGGTCAAGGATATCCTTCCCACAAGCATCACACAATTTGATGAAAATATTGCACAAGAGGGTCAAATAAGTACCTTATTTTTGTGCAACATAGTTTTAGATTAATCATAGGTCTATGACTGGCTACTTTCTCAAGAAGAGTTGAATGAAATAGTTCAGGACCAGGAGTCCAAAAATACTGGCAGATGCAATAAAAAAGGAAGTCTCAGATATTGTAGGTACATGATTAACTGTGTCAATTGAGAAAACGAAGAGCGACTAGATTGAGGATTTGATGACTTCCTTCTTGATTAGGATTTCCCTACTCAAACAAGCGACTAGATTGAGGATTTAGTGACAAGTTGAGTTATTTTATAATTAAATCTCTGTAGCTGAATAGTCTGGAAGGCCTTAAAAATCGATTACTATTTAATCTCTGAAACCAAAAATTACAATTAAAGGGAATTGTGACAATAAAAAAAAACAAGGTAAGAATTTCTCTTTTCCTGTCTACTTTATTTTTTGAATGGAAAAATACTCAACATCTCTTCTTGAAAATTTGTTCATCTGTGTGAAGAGTATTCAGTGAAATTTCAAGCGACAGAGTTGATATGTTCTCCTTTGTTAGAATTAAATGGAAGCAAAGATTTTGAAACACCATAAATGAAACGTGCATTCCTGAAGTTTCAGCACGGATACTTAGCATACGTTTATAAAGATCTGAATAGGGGCTCAGTATAAAGAATACCTGAAAATATTTAGAACAAGTTATGCCTCCCTACTTCAGAGAGAATGTATCAAATACGAATTTGAAGTAAAATGTAAAAACAGGAAGCTATTTCTGAACTTCCAGTTTTAAGTAGGAATGGCCATATTCACGTGTACCTTGAAGCTTCCTGAATTTTAGAAAAAAGTTGAAAAAACAAACAAATTATTTTCCGACTGAATTAATGGAATTTAGCATTATTGGGAGAGGAAGGCATCAAGTATTTCCTTTCAGGAAAATTTATCTTTGAAATTGACTACACTACGATTTTGTAAAATAGGTAATCAATCTCAGATAATAAATTTGCACATTTCATTCTTTACATTAAAGTTGTTTTCGAGTCAGACTCAAAATAGGGGCTTGGACCACGAGAGGGATAAGTGCAGTTTTTGTCATTACAAGAAAATGTTTTTTTTTTTTTTTTTTTTTTTTTTTTTTTTTTCAAAATTACATGAAGCCTTATGGAGGAAAGCAAGTTCAAACTCACTTTTTGATGCTTAAAAGTTGGATTTTAGTAGTGACTTTTACTTAGAATATATTTAAAGTAAGACTAATTTTAGTTGAAATCACTAATATATCATTTTTTTCAAAAACTGCACAAATCCAACTTGTCTTCCAAGCCCCTCAAATTTGGCATGAGAGCAGTGAGAGCTAGGTCCATGAAAAACTTCATTGTTTCTTGGGTCTGAAATTGCATAGCATTGCACAGTTGTAGATAATTTCGGAGCCTATCGATTGCGATTCATTTTCAACAGGTTCTGCTAAAATTTTGTAGGTACTAACAAGAGTAGCTAATCGATCCGTATGTATTTTTCTACCTAAGATTTGTACTGTGGCTGATGCTGTTGATGGTATTGAGTCAGAATTATGAATAAACGGAGCTGTGTCTACTGTCACACCTCTTTCTTGCAAGAGATCCGATATTCTAAAATCTGAGCTAGTTAAAATTTCATCCCCTTTTTTTAATCCATCTAATAAATTGGAGGAATCGAACATCTGTCTTAAACTTACATCACAACTGAATAGCTTTGAGCAAAATATGACGATGCCACCCTCATTGATGCCAATGAGACATCTGTAATGTGCCCTGTGAATCTTCTTTCGAAAGTCGCTATCTACTGGTAGAATTGAATCGAAAAAAACTTTCACACAATGGAGACACACTCTATATTTGGTCCCATCAGTTTTTCCAAGCGACCAAAAATCAATATCACTCAGACAAATATTTATTATTTTACTCCAGTGTTTAAATATTTTACACACCAGTGGCGGTGTGACATTGAACATAGCGCCTATCATTTTAAAGTCTTGGTTCAACCGATATTTGTACAATGTCATAAGAAGCTGATTCATGGGGCAGATAAACTTATACTTGCTCAAAAGCTCGGAGCTCATACATTTACTTTTGGCTAGGAAATTATAAAGAGCATTGAATTGATCATGAGAAAATTCAGTGAAATATAGAATTTGCTTTGCATTTAACCGTTCAAAATTGATGATGGCTTGGAATTTCGACACTGCCTCTGTTTGAGTTGTTACATCAACCATGGTTTTCTTCTTCTCGTACTGTATGATGGGGAAGCTGAGATAGTCCATTGCGTCTTCTGTTCTCATCACTGGCTCCTGATTAGAGATCTCTCTGGTATCTGAGTCATTACCATCAAGCATGTTTGCAGGAGGAAGCACATTTATTTCTTGCTGAGTTGGTGGAAGCTGATCCACCTCTTGCTCAGGAGTTGCCATCTCCCGTGAGAGATCATCCAGCATGCTCCTGTAGATGACCAAATGTTCAAAAGTTTTCCCTGAAACAAATGAGGTTTAATTAGTAGAAATTTTAAAGGTAAGACACTCCCAACATTTATGGTTTTCCTACGCTGTGTCTTCTGTGCGACAAAAGAACTTTTGCAATGGCCGAATCTTAAAACCAAGTGACTCCCTTTGCAACACTGCAGACTTCCTGTCATAATGTATTTTCTCTTTGAAAAACTAGATAGAAACGTAATTTCTCTATTAGCAGAATATTATATGAGAGGTTCAAGCTAAAAATTGACTCAATTTCCTTCACAGACACAAAAACAAAACAGGATCGGAAATTTTGAAACTTAGAGATACGGGATTTCCAACTTTGGAAATCAATTAATTTCTAGGATACTATAAGGTCAATTGAGGAGGCAGATGAAAAAACAGTGAAACGGTGATTATGCTGGTTCTGTTGGAGAAATAGTTCTGGCACTGGACATGTGCTCAAGAGTGACCACTCAAAACTTATATTCCTACTTCAATTTTTAAATGAGGTATACTCACAATTTTTTCCTGAGGAAAAGCAGCCTAATTGTGACAGTAGTTAAAACCTTTTGATTAAATTTTCTTGAAAAGTCATTCTGTCCCGACATGATCTCACCCTCAGTTAGGGATAAAGCAGGAATCTACTACATTCCTTGGATAAGTGGAAGTCCAATTAATGGATATTTTGAGATTATGATCAATAGACAGCTGAATGTTTGAATGCACAACCTCGAGTCAATGCCGTTTTCGTAGGCAGCAAAGTATCTCACAGGGGTGCAGAATCTTGCAGGCGTTCATGCTGCCACACACCTGCAAGCTTTCTAGAAAATTTTCCTCAAAATTCAAAAGTGAGGACCCACTTCTTCTTGTTTCTTTTAAGTTTCGACTTTTCATCCCTACACATAAATTGTCCCTCCTTTGATGGGAGCGTGATACAGCATTCTCCGCGCACCTTGTACTTTAGCATCTCCATCAATGAAATTCTTACCAGGGACTGTTCTTATTATGAGAAGCAATTTCTTGGCACTTACTTGTGAAGAATTGATGGGAAGAAAGTGAGCGTAGAAACTAGCCAACTGATTCAGTTGATGTGAACAATCAGGTTCAGGTATTTTAAAATGGAATACTTGCGATTACTTAACAAGAGAGATACGAGACATCAATTGTAAGAGCACAATGATTTGACAGTGAAATCAGAGAATCACAAAATTGTTGGTGTAGTTTGTTGTAAAAAAGATCAGTCAGTAATCAGTGAGCAAAGATGAGACGGTTTTTGCGTTTGGCCCAGATATTCCAGACCAAATTCTCATCAAAGATCAAAATCTGTCATCGGTGTCAAACTCGCTCCTAATGTAAACAAACAAACGGCGACATAGTCCNTTATGGTCCGCTTTTACAGCGTCAACATAACCCTCAACGAGCGTCTTGTTTACATTGATGACGTAGGTGGGTAAAAATCCTCAAGATGCAAACACCTCCTTTTTTTTCTCTATGATCAGTGAGTGAGTAAATATCAAAGACGAGACGGTTTTTGCGTTTGGCCCAGATATTCCAGACCAAATTCTCATCAAAGATCAAAATCTGTCATCGGTGTCAAACTCGCTCCTAATGTAAACAAACAAACGGCGACATAGTCCGGACATAAACAAAGCGGATCTCGTCGAGATGTTCCACACTAATTTTCTCAGCGTTATCGTTTCTTCACCTCGACAAAAGAACTTTCGTCCACATCCATCTATCCATTTCGTTAAATCAGATATCAATTACCGCGTTGATCTGTTCATTGTGGTTTCAAGTGAAATTGCAGTGAGATACTCCGGAGTCCGGACTCCTAACGTAAACAAAGCGGCCTGCACCTGGTCGAGATGTTCCGGACTCATTTCTTCATTTACGTTTCTTTTCTTCATCTCGACCAAAGAAGTTTCCTGCGCGTCTAAAGCAACATTTTCCGGTTCCATTGTTAGAGAAGAAACAAGTCATTTTGTAGTAAGTTAGGATAATATTTGTGTTGATTGAGTGGCATGAGCATTGGACTACCTGGCACCTGGCTGCGCCTTGCCATGAGCATTGGACTACCACTACCTGGCTGCGCCTTGCATGGTAGCCTCTATCTCAAGATGATGGGGCGAAAAACTTATTGGTTGATGTGCAAATCTGAATCCTAAATCTCTAGTAACGGTAGTTGTGAAAACCAGATGGATGTACAATGATAGGTACCTTGCTCCTCACTTACTTTCTTATGGATGTTCTCTGGTCTCTCCAAGGTTCTGGTTTTGCGCTGCGTTGAAGCCAATGCTTCAAGTGTAGCTATAACAACCAGACTTCGGAGATACCAATTAACAATCCTAGCAGTCACCAAATTCTCCAGCAAACCCGTATAGTTGTCTATTAGCAGCTGAAGAAGCTATGGAAACCGTATTTAACTATTACAACAAAATTTTTTCCATCGGAACTCTGACAGTAAGTATGAGGGGGAACTATCACCTTTAAGGCATGTTTCTCCATGAATTTTCTTGTTGTTTGGCATTAAACTAAGTAGAACTCAAGGAAAATGAAGCAAGACTTTACATATAACCATGTGAGGTTCATCTGCTAAAAAAATAGAATAAGATCTAAAATTCCTAATGAACATCACCAAGATGGTTCTGCCACCAGCAGCTCATTTTTTAAGGCACGGATCAAATACTGTGGTTATCTATTATTCTCACGGTGCCCATCAAATTATAGGTAAGAAACCTTGTCCTGTAATAATAATGGCATGGAATGGTGGGCTCTAATTGGTAACTTGACCATCCCCAATAAGTTATCGAAAGAATTAACTTCTTAAAAGATCCTCTGTGAATAAAGCCAAGTAAATATGCAGATAAAAGTCCCGTGTGATGTGTGAAGTGTATTCAAAGGGAAGGGATGAAATGTTCAAAAGGTAACGTCCAAACTTGCAAAGTTGTAGAGGCTCTAGGCACAAATTGGACAAGGTGCCGCTAAGAAATGACTGCCGAACCATCTTCGAGATCACGGGCGGCGAGCGGCAACCTCATTGGCTACGAAGATTGCCGAGCACGGCCGAAGGCCTACTCGCCGCTTGGTAGGTGTTGACGGCGGTTTGACAAACAGCAGTTTTTGGTGAAATGTGGTCCGGAATATCTGGGCCAATCTGTTCACTCAAGATAACACTACTACAGGGAGGTTATGTTTGATTGTTATGGTTGATTATTTGGGAAACTTGGCGGGTTTTGCCGACTGGCGACTTGGACGGTCAACCGTTGGAATTCGGCGATTTACCCCGAATCTCCACCGCGGCGGTGCGTTTTCGGGGGTTCGGCACTCTCAACGTTGTGACGGACCGCCGCCATATTTGTTTACGAAACCAAGCCTACCGATCGCATGCCCAAGCATCGTGTGCTGATCGATTATAGTATAATAATTCAAAATTAATTTTATCGTTTCAGTCGTTCCATTTTAGCCTCAATAAGCTAAGCTCACCGTTACGCGAACGTAAGTATTTGTTTACTTTTTGCAACTGTTTCACTCCACTTGTACATTGTACCAATGTCTTCATGGAGTGGGTTTTCCACCGGAATTTACGTATAAAAGTCTCCAAACGTCTCTGATTACCTAATTGGTATGAATATCTAGTATTCTCAAATTTAAATGTAGTAGCGCTGCTTGATTTTGTAACTTTTAACTTCGAAGTTGTTTGTGATACCTCTTCGTTGATGCATCAAAGGTAACACCAGCCTCTTGCCGTAATGTGTCAATATTTGCGAAAGACGTTGAACATCCAACAAATTCCATTGCTATCAGCAGTATAAACCATTATTTCAGTATTTTCCAGACCAAGTGCAAATAACTGAGAGGATAAATGCATAAATATCTCTTGACGCTTGCTGCCTGTTGGGCTGATTGTTTTATTTGTGTTGGGGTCAGAACAAAGCTGAATCAATGGCTTTTCTAGTTCAGAGGTAAGGAATTTATCTCAAGAGAATAATTTGATTCTGTTGTGCAGCCTCTTATAACACAGCCAGACCTAAAGTCCACATGCTTCTTTTAAGGTCAGAAAGGTCTTTAAAGAAGTCAATATAAGTGAAAATTTTTTTTCGGGCCCTCAGCTACTTTATCTGCAAAGTGAAATCTACATTTTAACCATTCATGCTAGATATTCCAGAGAAATTGGTCAGTGATGAGTCTAAGTGTGTAGACTCTGATGGAAAATCCACCGGACAATGACGCTGGTGTTTTGAAGACAGTTACAAAAAAAACAAATGTTTGCAAATGCGTAACAGACAAGTATCGAAATCTGAAGTCTACCATAAACGTACGACTTAACGTAGATTTGAAAGATTAGATTGAATGATTAAATGTAGCTGTGCCATTTCAGCTGGACCCGGGAAATCTAACTGGAGAGGTCTTGTGCCTGCGGGGAGGGAGTTGGGCGCTGCTGACACACTTCACAGTGAAATTGACCAAAATTGTCCCAGAAAAATGTTAGTACTCTCTCTGAATAAGGGGGAGGGGACAATCCCTACTTGCCTGATGTGTGAGAATTTTCACCCTCATGATAAATTTTAATTTGAAAAAATATGTTCCTCCCAGAGGCCCAACCCCTTTCTTGCTAGCACCATTTACATTTTTAAAGCAGCCTCAGTCTTGATAGCCTGCTGAATGGGTTCCATAATGAGCAGAGATGCAAAATTGCATGCAATTTCATATAAGGTAAAATTTCATGAAAGTATAACTTCTGCAATAGGCTCAGTAGGCCGTGAAATGCGTATAATCAGAAAATCTCAATATTTAACAAAATAAGAGTCAAACTCTTAATTTTATTATAAGATAATTTTATGGGTGGTGTACACTCCTCCTAAGAAATCTGTGTACTTTCATATCATGTTAGATTTCATTTTACATCCCTGATAAGTGATGACAAAAAATCTCTGAAAAGAAGGAATGAATGCTGAGGATGGTCGCTCAAGACTCATTCTTCTGGCTGCTACTTTTTTTCTCCTAGAATGCATTGATAAACGGCGACATTGCAGCTTGTGTCTTAACGGGAGAAAACTTCCTTCATTCGACTATCAGGAATTAATATTAACTTGATAAAAATATTTAAATGTAAATTTTAATTAAGTACGTGGTTGCTTCAAGTCCGCTTAAAGTGTGGATCTTGCCCGCGATCCATAAATTCAAAACACCCGCGCAATATGCGCCGCCATCTTAGTTGTTTACATGAAAACGTTGAGGTGCTCGATCCCCGAACATGCACCGCCGCGGTGGAGATTCGGGGTAAATCGCCGAATTCCAACGGTTGACCGTCCAAGTCGCCAGTCGGAAAGATTCGAAACTTGGCAACTCTAACCTAACCTCCAAGCGTTATTTATTCAGAATCTCACGTGTCGTGTTGGAAATTCAATGTGAATTAAAGAAATTAATCAATGATTTATATCAGTTAGAAATAGCAATAGTTATAGTGTTATTATCAGTAGGTATTGATCATTCATATCGTTTGTATCGCATCGTGTTGTTCAGTCTCTTTATCTGTGATGGAAGGCGCAAACATCAATGTAATAACTAGTGTCAAATGGGTACAGCGAGGAGTGGCCAAAGCTGACCCTTACAAATTAAAACTCTCTACAGATGAAATTAAAGAAATCATTGAAGAAAACATAAAGCATAAAAAAGATGCCATCAAAAAATTCAAGAGCAAATCTGAAAATTCGGATGAAGACGATGTCGAAGCTTGTATGGATGATTACGACGAAGAAGATGATGCAGTCATAGGTATGTATTACATTGTACTAGTTGGTTTGTTTTCTTCTGTGTCGGGAAATAATTTTGCTCGAAAGTATCTATACATGGAAGTCGATTATTTTCTGCTTCTCCTAAGAGGGAACTAACGGAAATCATGCAGAATCTGTATCCCATGAAGTCGCACTTTTGCAATGGAATGTATTCAGCATAGAATATTTTTTATGTGTAATATGCATCAGCAAATCACTCGAAGTGAACTATGGTAAGATGAAAGACCAGTTTTGATAAAATATCGGTTTTGTTTTTAACTTTTCATGACAAAATGAAAAGAAACTGAGAGGAAGCACACGCCAGGTAAATACATCTGAGAAATATATTTTTTATTTTATTTATTGATCCAGACTTAATCATTAAGAGAATATACACTGAGTGGTTGTCATAAAGACTATATCAATGGCAAAACTACCAGACCACGTATCTCGTTCGCGGCGTTTAAAAATATCCGCTCACATTTTATTTTTTTGAAAGAGATATCATTTCATTTGAAGGGATATTTGAACTCATTCACGGCAGGCGCAGTGATACAACTATTCGACCACGGGTGTAAGCATGTTGCTGCCAGCCGGATTGAAGGCGCGCCACACTCCAGCAATTACTCGGGTCCCGTCCCGTGCCATCTCCCTGGCTGGCGCGCCGCTAAAATCGCCGCATAGGGAGGCGTACGTCATTATCCTTGCTTCTCTGTCCCGTTTTTACCACAATTTGAGTGAAAGTGTATCCCTGAATTGTAACAATTCAGAAACTCGGATAGGGTTTATTAAATTCATTTTCTTTAAAATGAGGTATGAAACGAGTAAAAATATTGCGTTAAAATTTCCGGCAACTAAAGAAAATCCACGGAAATTCCTTAGAAAAACTGTATTTCCCTTTCGTAACAAGAATGATTAATAATAAGACATTAGTTGAGGTCTGCAACGTTGCAGTCGGAGCTAGATTCGCCTCCTTACGCGTGTAGGAAAGGATATTTGAACTCATTCACGGCAGGCGCAGAGATACAACTATTCGACCACGGGTGTAAGCATATTGCTGCTAGCCGGATTGAAGGCGCGCCACACTCCAGCAATTACTCGGGTCCCGTCCCGAGCGATCTCCCTGGCTGGCGCGCCGCTAAAATCGCCGCAAAGGTAGGACTGCACGTCATTATCCTTGCCTCTCTGTCCCGTTCTTACCACAATTTGAGTGAAAGTGTATCCCTGAATTGTAACAATTCAGAATCTCGGATTGGGTTATTAAAAACATTTTCTTTAAAATGAGGTATAAATCGAGCGAAAATATTGCGTCAAAATATCCGGCGACTGTAGAAAATCCGCGGAAATCGTTTAGAAAAACTGTATTTGCCTTTCGTAACAAGAATGATTAAAAATAAGACATTAGTTAAGGTCTGCAACGTTGCAGTCGGAGCTAAATACGCTTCCTTACGCGTGTAGGAAAGGATATTTGAACTCATTCATGGCAGGCGCAGTGATACAACTATTCGACCACGGGTGTAAGCATGTTGCTGCCAGCCGGATTGAAGGCGCGCAACACTCCAGCAATTACTCGGGTCCCGTCCCGTGCGATCTCCCTGGCTGGCCCGCCGCTAAAATCGCCACAAAGGGAGGACTGCACGTCATTATCCTTGACTCTCTGTCCCGTTTTTACCACAATTTGAGTGAAAGTGTATCCCTGAATTGTAACGATTCAAAAACTTGGATAGGGTTTAGTAAATTTATTTTCTTTAAAATGAGGTATGAAACGAGTAAAAATATTGCGTCAAAATTTCCGGCGACTGTAGAAAATCCGCGGAAATTCCATAGAAAAACTGTATTTCCCTTTCGTAACAAGAATGATTAAAAATAAGACATTAGTTAAGGTCTGCAACGTTGCAGTCGGAGCTGAATACGCTTCCTTACGCGTGTAGGAAAGGATATTTGAACTCATTCACGGCAGGCGCAGTGATACAACTATTCGACCACGGGTGTAAGCATGTTGCTGCCAGCCGGATTGAAGGCGCGCCACACTCCAGCAATTACTCGGGTCCCGTCCCGTGCGATCTTCCTGGCTGGCGCGACGCTTAAATCGCCGCAAAGGGAGGACTGTACGTCATTATCCTTGACTCTCTGTCCCGTTTTTACCACAATTTGAGTGAAAGTGTGTCCCTGAATTGTAACGATTCAGAATCTCGGATTGGGTTTATTAAATTCATTTTTTCTTTAAATGAGGTATGAAACGAGCGAAAATATTGCGTCAAAATATCCGGCGACTGAAGAAAATCCGCGGAAATTCCTTAGAAAAACTGTATTTGCCTTTCGTAACAAGAATGATTAAAAATAAGACATTAGTTGAGGTCTGCAACGTTGCAGTCGGAGCTAAATACGCTTCCTTACGCGTGTAGGAAAGGATATTTGAACTCATTCACGGCAGGCGCAGTGATACAACTATTCGACCACGGGTGTAAGCATGTTGCTGCCAGCCGGATTGAAGGCGCATTTCAATATCATTTCTTGAAGTTTTTACAGTTTTTTTCAAAAAGAGAAGATAAAACATGGAAGATTTCAAGAAATGATGTCGAGTAGTTTTCCATTTAAAAAATAAAGTATGACAGGAAGTCTGCAAAGTTGCAAATCGAGATACTTGGTCTGATAGTTACACCGTCCATATAGTATTTGGTTGTGAGAAATTGGAGTACTTTCAACCAAATGAGATTAGGAATAGCCTGTGGAAGGAATTTTTAAAATTTTAGACAGCTGGGGGTAGCGTGAACTCCCATAGAGGTATTACAGAGGGAAGAAGTTAGACTTGTAGAGTTTTTAGTATTAGGGACTGAATGTTTTTCAGGAAGTATAATGACAATAAGGGATTGAGGCTTGGGATGCTGTGAAGATTGATGGGATTAGCCCTCGTCGGCTGTTTGAAAAACAAAACAAATAAATCAAAAAAACAATTTCACCGCCAGTACTTTTGCAAAGAGCTCATTTTGTACAGCAATAGTATGTAAGAATATTACATAGAAGAGTACTGATATAACCAGGTATATATCCTTAACACCCTCACATCATGCTAATCGCAACTGCCAATTGATGAATTGTCGATTTTCATGTAATGAGTATTTTTATTACAGGTCTTGATGATATTGCCACTGTCGGTGAAGATTCAGCTACGACATCATCATATGCCCTAGATTTAAATGATAATTCCGACAGTGAAAAGGAGGATGAAGTCATCAGACCTGATGATAACTTATTACTGGTCGGCCATGTCGATAATGACTTTAACTCTCTAGAAGTCTGGGTTCACAATGAAGAAAATCAAGATTTCTACATCCACCATGATGTTTTGATACCATCATTCCCATTGTGCTTAGAGTGGCTAAATCATGATGTCACCACAGGTAATTGATTTTCAAAATTGGGTACTTAAATGCGCTGGCTGGGACATGGTTCGGAGTTAGGCAACCTCACAAGTGTTCTGCAATCTTTTAGGAATTCCTGCCAAAAAAAAATCACTTACTCACTGTCATCGTTTTTAGCAGCTAATCCAATTGAAAATTGTCATTTGTTGATAATCAAATATTAGTCTATATACCTATAATTGTATTGCTCTCGACTCCCCTTCTGCAAAACAATTCCCGCCAACATCAATGCATTTCTGCTAATCCTGCTTCAATTACAAAAAAATTCGTTTTGAATTCCTTTGGGTGGATTGAATGCAGCTTTGTGAAATCATTTTCCTTGATCTCTGGTAATATGTCAATTTTCACATCTAATGTGTGTTTTCAAAACTGAAATCAATGTTGAAAGGTCTGCAGATTTGACATGATAGCAGAGATTGTGGAAAATTATTGCACAGAGCTGCATGCAACCCACCCCAAGGAGTTCAAAATGAATATTCTTGCAATTAAAGCAAAATTGATAGATACGCATTGATGTTGCATGATTAATTGGGATTATTTCGAAGAAGGGAAGTTAAGGGCAACAAAATTATGGGTATGTAATTAATATTTAATTATCAACAGTTTTCATTTGAATCAGCCACTAAAAACAATGATAATGAGCAAGTGATTTCTTTTTGGCAGGAATTCATAAAAAATCGCAGAACATTCGTGATGTTGCATCACTCTAAACCGTGTCCTAACAAAGTTTGTTTGAATATTTCAAATTTGTGAATGTAGGGTTCTTTCGTATGTCATATCAGTTTTTAGGAAAGTTTAAAAAAGCCTGATTTTGACATAAAGTGGGCTAGTTATCACCAAAATCTGGTTTCCAAATGAACAGACCTAGTACTTGTGAGCCAGCAGTATCATTGCTACAGACAATGAGAGGGCGCTATCCCTCAGCACTGCTTTGAAAAAAGTGATGACTTTCACGATTCACAGCAATCCTTTGACTGTCTCAATGTCTTGTCTTGAAGAAAGAGGTACCTATGTGACATCTTAGTAAAGAAGGATGACAGAGCATTCTCCATACCCTTTTCACAAGGAGATGAGAAGTTTGATCAAAAATCAGAAGCATCAAAAGAACACACTTCCTATGTTTTACATGCCACCAAATTTAATGCAAATCGAAGAAATTCACCAGTCATGAGAGTTTTAATAAATGACCCACAATAATCATGTTGTTTCTGTATTCAGATGTAGCAAATTGAAATAACTTCCATCCTTAATTTCATCTGCAACTCAAGCTCGTTTTTTTACGAAAGGATATTTGTATACAATAACTTGTTCTGACTCCAAAAAGGAAAAAAAAAGAAAATAAAAACTTATTTCATGTGTGTTTTCAGGTACCGCTGGAAATTTGTGTGCTGTTGGCGCAATAGATCCCATCATTACCGTTTGGGACATAGACATCATGAACTGCCTTGAACCGGCTTTTAAATTGGGGAAAGTGAAAAAAAAATCTGGTGAGCGCATTGGGCACTCGGATGCCGTTTTGGACTTAGCGTGGAACACTGAATATGAGCATATTTTGGCATCTGGATCTGCCGACAAGTCTGTAATACTCTGGGATTTGGACTCCTTGAAACCTTCCACCTGTATGCTAGAGGCAGGGAAGCGAGTTGAGTCGGTGGAATGGAAGCCTGATGACCCTCATTCTTTGTTGGTTGGCTCCAGGGATCGGTGTGCCCGTCTCTATGATTGTCGAACTGAAGGAGTCATCACACCTTTTAATGTGAAAGGTATTACTTTTTTAACCATCACAAGTACCCTTAACAGATGCATGCCATTGTTTCATTCTCTTTTTACCAGTCGTTCTTGTCACTGATACCTACATAAATATCTCATCTTCCATTGAATTAATTTGAGTGCCAAAAAGTTTTTCGCTTAAACCTTTAGAGTTTCTTTTGTTTTTTGATGAACTGGTTTCTTTTTTTTTACCTGCATTTGGTTGATGATCAAAAGTCTACCTTCTTTAAATTTTTTGGGATCTTCAGTAAATCTAGTAAGTTATGCTTTGATTAAGAGGAATTAAAATAAAAAACTCAGTTTTGAAGGAAGGGTAGGAGCGAAAATGAGGGGAAAGGTAATTTCTGGCTGGCTTGAGTCTTTTGTAAAGTTTTACACAGTCCTTATCCAACATTATTGTGAAAAGAGCAAAAATTTGACGGTTGACTGTATTTAAGAGTTCACTTACAATGCCCCAAAAGAACTTATTATTTTTTAAGTGACGGAAAATCCCTTTCTTCACTTTCTAAGAGACCTTAACTAACCCATACTATGAAATTTCATTGAGATTGAAAAGTAGGCTTGTTCGAAGGAAAGGTGGGTGTGGCAAAACCGTGATGTATAACACTTTGGCTTTATGAGAAAAACATTATTGTGTTAAGGAGCTAATACTATGCCTGCACCAACACTCAGTTTAAATATTTTTCTTGACGTTGTTAATTAATCAGGTGTTTTTAGAAGGGTGGAAGTTCCAAAACTTAGGAGGCGTGGCTTTTAAGATATGGTGCATTTATATTTGGATTCCAGCCCTTTTCACGTGTCAGATCATCCTATTACCGAATTATAAAATTTTCCTTGCAAAAAAAGGTAGAAGTCTGAACGCTCAAGCTCTATACTAGATATTATCAATATTGGAAGCCGAAAATCATGAGTTTTTGAACCTCTGCCTTTCTTGAAAAACTTGATCTTATTTTCAAGTTATAAAATAGATAAACTTATTTAAAAATCAACTCTTATAGTAAAAAAATGGGCAAGCATTCTTTCATATATTTATTAATATTCTGTGAGAAAATTTTCAATAACCTAATTCGTTCACCTATTTTTTTTTTTTTTTATTTCTGTAGGTAAGGTTGAAAAAGTTTGCTGGAACCCAAAGAACACCTCGCTCTTTTACATTGGGACAGAAAATGGAAAACTTTATGGCTTTGATATACGAAGTAGTGAACGAATGTGGCATTTAAAAGCTCATGATGAAGATATCACTGGCCTCCTTGCTCACAAGTCTTATAGTGAAACTCTAATCTCTTGCTCCATGGATGGTAGCATCAAGTATTGGGACGACAAAGGTCCTCCTGAAATGACCTATTCCCGTGATCCAATAGTTGGTAAGATACAGTGCTTGGCTTTCAATCCAGATAACCCAGATTTCATTGCTGTCGGGGGAACTAACAAAAGCCACAACCTCAGGGTTTTAAATGTGAAACCACTGCCAAAGGTAATAATTGAAAATGATCTCCAGCCCTCAAAAGAAATTCCACGAACTAGCTCAGAATCAAAGAGTCGCTCAGAATCGAGAGGTCGACCCAATTTCAAAAGCCGCCCAGACTTCAAAAATCGGTCAAAATTTAGAAAAAATTCTGCCTCCAACCAGAGGTCCAGCAAGGACAGACAAGGATTTAAAGGTAAAAAAGGTTTTAGAAATAAAAACAATGCAAAAAGTTAAAAAGAAAACTTTTAAAATTTGAGAAAGCATTTTCATGAAAGTTCATCTTTGTAATGAAGGCATCGTTCCAACACTATTAATGTAAATTGAGGAATTAAGTTCATCACAATGCATCTCTTGTGGCATTATTTTTCCCACTATTTCATTGTTACCTGGCAGTTTTTGGATTTATTTTAGGGGTAGCCGATTATTAAGATGGTGTTTTTGTTAATCAGACGCAGTAATACCAAGTTGAAATGAAATATTGTCAGTCAGTTTAACCTCACAATTTCTGTATTGCTTTTTTATCGAGAGGACAAGCTTTTAAGTACCTCCTCTGTACGGACAAAAAATGTAAATGGTCCAATAAATACTGGACTTAACCTCATTTCAGCTAGGGCTTGTTATGTCCAATTCTCGTTGACAAACTTTCAATGACTGGTATGGTGGTTACCCTTATGTGAGACCGAGAGAACGTACTGAGAAACACTATGGAAGTGACTAAGAGAATTTCGATCACCAATTAAAGTTTTAATACGGCCGTGTTTCCAAGGAAAATTTCATGGGCTTTGTCTGAGGGAAAATCTCACCTGCTGAGTAGGGAAAAATATTGAGTTAGTCAGTACTAACCACAGCACCAAGTTGAGTCGTTGTGGAGTCCTAAGAGCGATTCAAAGAGAAGATATTTTTTCGTTTTGCTTAACGAGGAAAAAACTCAGAAGTTTAATTCCTACAATTCGAACTTGGGACAAATCCCATGAAACGTCCCGCAGATACAAGGCTTAGGGTTAGGATTTTTTCTTTGATTGAGGTTGCCTTGATGCTAACTAGAGTCTCTTTATACATACCTTGAGTTGCGCAATCTTGGGCCATGAATGTCACAAACGGACAGGAAGATCTTTCAGTTGGTTACCTTTTCTGTAATCTTTAGTCAACTTGTTTCAGAATTCCTTTCCTGCATTCTCTCTCTCATTCGGTTTGTTTCCCATCATGCCCTTAGTTCCCTTGTTCATTCTAGTTTGTTCTCTTTGCAACTAGTAAAAGAGTACTATTTTTGCCCTTTTGTAACATCCATGAAGCCTAGAAATGGGAGCCAATCAGAAATGGATTCCAAATTGCACTGCTCCTCTAATTAAGGGATCCCTATTCATTCTCAGAGACGAACAGTGTGGTGTGAATCGTTGATGAACGGAGAGAGAAAATTATGTTCGAAAGATTAAAACGAACGATAGTTCGTTGTACACATTTCCTCATTGATTAGATGGTCAATGTTCCATTTAACTTGGATAGACACTTCCTCCTGAATCTTAGTTTCAATCTTATTTGTGATCATTTCTTTTTCCATCATTACATTCTGAAGATCCACATCCATTGCTCAGTCAAATCAGACACCTTTTTCATAAGTTGTTCCAAGAGCTTGGAAACAGATGAACAAACCGACGAAGAAAAAATATTTAGTACCATCTTAGGGAGGAATTGAAGTATATTTTAGAGCAAAAAACAGAAATCATAAAATAATTTTGAAATCAATAGCGAGGAAACAAAATTAGAGGAATATTGTGGTATAACAGATAATTGACAGAAAATTATCACTGATGGCTGAAAAATTAGTAGATAAAGACTTGAAAATTCAGATACCGGTACTTGTTTGGGTTGACTGCATGTCTCACCGGGGCGCTGTATTGTTTGTTGGGATGGTTTAATGTACTGGAGGAAGATATTTGCTACTTTAAAAGCATCGTATCTGACAGAAGTGTTAATCTTTTTAATTTCTGCTAGAAAACCAACTGTTGGGAGGCATTGATTTTTTTCACTCATGTAAAAATTAAAATTGTCCTATAAGGGCTAGCTTAGACCAGCAATCACTAATTCTATCAAGAATCTCCCTTTGCTGGGTTCTTACAAATCCTTTCCAAGACCTAGATATTATAACCTCTCACATGGAACAGATTTACAGCGCCCATCCTACGCACAAACTAGTATTAATTCCTTGATTTCTTAGCCATTTCCATTTGAAATTCCTTGATTACCTAAAGATTTGGTCCTTGATGTGTTGCAAACACATCGGTTACCTTCATAGCTCGTCCGGCGGACGTTTGGAAGGCAACAGTCAACAATTTCATTGATGAGCCTCTTGGAAGTCATAAGTTTGTGCAAGGGACAGGAGTTTTATTAATCTTTACAAGATGGTGATCGATTCTGTCTTATTGGTTACCTATACTGCTCTGCTAAGGAATAACAGCGTCAATGAAGAAATGAGAAACTTTTAGAGAAAATCGCCTTAAATGTGGGCTTCATTTTATGATGTATGGATTGGTCCCATGTTCATCCTTGTTTTTTATACGTCAATTTTGGTTCGTATTTCTATTTTTGTACAATATTTTTCTCCAAATGCTCTATTCCTTTCCAGAGCAGTATACCACATCCAATATTTAACTATTTTCTAAGATTCATGAATGAAATTTTTTTATCAATGTGTGTAGCCTATTTTCGAACTGGACGATTTATTCATTAATTCAGTCTGATTTTTTTCCTTGATTACTGTTGAATTTTGTCATCTGTTGCTTCTTTGAATCTTAGATATTGTAAAAACTAATTGTTTCATTAATAAATTGACTCTTTTTTTAATTAAGTTATTTTTCCATTGAATCAAATTGTTTAAAGACGTTTGACAAGCAAAAATTACAGTTTTGAGATTATTGTTAGATGCCAAAGACTTGCCTGATGCATGCCTCACAAGTGCTGGATGAATGAGCGCTTTTAGGTAAATAATTAAGCTAAATAAGGATTACTGAAAAGGTATACATTTATGCCTAATTTTTAGCTTTGAAACGGCACAAATTTTTCCTTACCCCAAAAAAAAGAAAGAAAAAAAAGAAAGGACATTAAGGTGATTCGTCAATCTCAATTGACGTGGTTGAACTGGCATGCGATATATCGCATCAATTAGGTACAAAATCTCGACAGATATTGATATTTTAGCACAAACAAGGACGATAGCCCCTGCGCATGAGCATAAAGAATCATTCTAAACCCAAAAATTGGCAAAATTCGGAGAAATGGAATCAGAATAGTGTTTAGGATAAAACCTCGCATTCGATTCAGCTATCGATCACTGTATTGAATGCGAGGTTTTTTTCCAAACACTATTCTGCTTTAATTTTTCTGAATTTTTCCGATTTTGGGGCTTAGAATGATTCTTTAGGCTCATGCGCAGGGGCTATCGTCCTTTGTTTGGCTAAAAATTCAAAATCTGCCGAGATTTTTTACCTTATCATTGCGATATATCACACGGCAGTTCGAGCACGTCACTTGAGCTTGATGAAGCACCTTAAGCTTCACCCACGATTGTTAAAAATCTTAGCGTTACACCTCTTACTAATGCCAATTGCAAACTACTTGAACAAGATTACAATATTAGACTAAGTTTGAGTGAAAAAAGCCAAAAGAACCAACAAAAAAACACTGAATTAATCAACATTGATAAGAAGTTACATCATAAAATGAACGTATAGAAACTGAAAATTAGTTCCATGTGAGTTACTTGTCTCCCAAAAAAAGAATCTCTGAACTGTGAAATTTTTGCGCTAACTGCAAATACTTAAACAAGAGGTCAGACAAGTATGTATCTGTTAGGATGCATATAACCTTGAATTGAATTATTGGCACCCTCAGGAAAAATGAAGAATACAAAGAAGCTTTATATGACTTTTCTCCAACCTTGTTGAGTACAGTAATCTCACACCGTACTTCTTCTGAAATGTTAGTCAATTTTTTTAAATTCTCCAACTGAAGAAGCAGGTAAAGAAATCTTGGGAGTTAAATACTACGGCTAGCCCACAATTTCTGTAACTGTTAGAAAGCCTAGTCTCCTGGAAGACTGGCGATTGAATTTGTCATTTTTAAAAAAAACTTGAGCGCCAGAAATTAAAATGCAAGAAAAACAGTAAAAACTGAAACAATGCTGGTTTAAATCTTGGATTAAGTGATAATGTGATTAATTAATTAAATGCTTCAATATTTTGGAGCTATGAGATCTAGAATGGGCCGATTGAAACTTTTTAAGTATAGAAGATTTTCTCGTATTTCAATTTTAGCAACTAAGTTTTTGAGAATGACAGATTCAATTGCTTAATGGACCAGGGATCATTAAAAAAAAACTTATAACTGGATTTTGGATGGAAAAAAAAGGATATTATACAACAGAATACATTTTATGTACAGAGTTTTGGCTGCTGAAAAAATAATTATATCCCTAGAAAAACAGAAATGAAGGATTGCAATGAGAATGCAAAACATACAGAATATACCTTAGAAACTACTTGAAGAACTATTGAAGAACCTCTCTATTTACAGCTCTAACCCATTGACCTACTTCGTGCGATATTAGAGAGTTGGACTTATCATACCCATGACAGGATAGGGCCTGGATAACCAGTTTTTTTTGGTGGTTCCAATATTCTTACTGATATCTAACACGGCCCTCTCCACAAATTATCCGCTAATCAGGGTATAAATTCATTTGAATTTTCAGCATTAATGCATGAGTTTGAGTTTTGCATTCAAGAGATTATAGAGGGAAATTCATTGCTGATTTTTGCCCTACTCAGTAATAAATAAATATGGGCACATCAGCACGCTATTGAAAGTCAATGGATTTGTCAAGTTCAAAATAATACTATTTACCAATAATACATTTTTTACATATATTATACACTTAAAGACTATAGACTTGGTTGCCAAGAATTAGGATGGGTGAAATAATCAAATAAAATTAAATGAGTGGATTTCAGATCCAATAACTTCAAATTTTGGAGAGAGACTGCAAGCAATTATTTTTATTCAAGTAATTAAATTTATGAAGAGCTGCGAGTTCTGTCATAAAACTAGTTATATTATCATCTCAAGGATTTCCTTCACAAAAATTCTACATGTTCAGAATCCATAAACGATTGGCAAATGGAATGTAGCTTGCATGTCTCCTCAAAATTAATATTTTAAAACGTTCTCTCTTTGTACATATTAAATGAATGTAAGATTTTATGAAGAATGATTTGTGCCCCTGAATAAATGGATCAGTGCTTTCAAAAAACGTGAAAGTCCACTTTTTTTAATTTTTTTCTCTTCTCTCTCTTTTTTTTTTTTTTGCATTTTTGACACTCTTTTAACAAAAAAATTTGCATTCCTGTGCACCTGTCGCTAACGATCCAAGTAGCAGACATCTGCTGCTTTTTTGGATAATATGGGAAAGACAACCAGAGCCCAAAAATGCAAAAAAAAAAAAGCGACTTTGAAAAATGGACTTCCGTCCTTCTTAAAAGCACTGATTTGATTTACATATTTCTTCTCTAAATGTGTCAACAAGATATAAAACACCTGGGGACTTAGGCAGGATTTTGAAGCTAAAAATTTGCTGGTCAGCAAATCTTTAGCTTCTGCAATAACGGAACTCAACAAATTAGTTACCTTTAGAAATTACATAATCTTAAAACAGACTTTTTTAAAAATAAAAATATTTATGGCTTTAGCTATTTGTACCCTGTATAAAAAAACACCAAATGGCTGCATTCTGCAAGGTGCGCTTTTTGGTATCAAGATTTCTGTAACATTTTGCTTGCAGATGAACTGTCAGTTTTTGTTAACAAAATTTCTCACTTAAATTCCAGGAGTTGTTTCGTGAGGATTTCGTAAGCCATTTTCTTCCTAAAATACGGCATATTTTCTTGACTAAAGGTGATGGAAACATCACGTGTAAGATACTCAGCAAACATGCACGCGAACATTCCGCAATCTGAACCATTCATTTGCATGGGAATGTCCTGGAAATACCATCAATACATTTTAGATAAAGAGAATAAGTAAAAAAAAATAACTCTTAAATTAATCATATCTTCTGTTGAAAAACAAAATAGACACATGGACTAGAATTTAAGTAATTTTTGCGTTTCTATTATTATTCAAACTATCTGAAAAAGATGAATTTGGACAGAAATTAATTCCTTGAAACATTTCCAAAACAGGGGAAAAATATATTTCCTGAAAGTTTTAAAGTTATCAAGAACAAGAGCCCAGAAATTTCTAATAGTTAATATTTGAACACTCAAAACTAGCCTGGATTTCTGTTCATTGATTCGAATATTGCGAGTGAGAAGATGTGAATATACCACAGTTCTGATAAAAAAAAACTTTTTAAAAAAGAGGCAGAGGTGGGACAGATGGGTTCTGCCTTGGTCCCTTGCCTAGCAATCTAAAATAAAAATAAGTGCAGGGCTGAATTTCATTAATGGTTCCACGCATAACTATCAGCAAAGGACGGGATATCAATGCTGAAACTCTCAAACCACGTATCTCGATTAGCAACGTTGCAGACTTCCTATCATATTTTATCATTTTAATGGAAAACTACTCAACGTCAATTCTTAAAAACTTCCGTAATTTTTCTTCTCTGTGCTGAGCAAATTATTTCAAAACTATGAAATTGGAAGCATTGCTCTTCAGCCGCCTCTCTTGTACTTTTTGTCCATATTACTATGACTGTTATCTGCTTCTATGTAAGGTCAATCAAAATTTCACTTTATTTTGTTATTAGTCAATACCATTCACTTGACCATCTGTTGACTCAATTTCAGTCAGATACACAGTCAGCTATCGAATTATATGATAAGAAAAAGGCTTGATCGATGAAAATAGCTGATCGAAGAAAACTTGGGCTGTAAAGATGTACTACTTACCGAAATACAAGCAAGCGTCCAACCGGAGGCATCGAATTCAACCTTTTTCTTGTCCATACTTTCATCTCGTAGGTATGTAAGTAAACTCTACAAAAAAAAGGAGACTGAAATTAAAATATGTAAACATTCTTTTTAATAAAATAAACTCTACTCGAAATTAAACGGTGATAATTGAGAGTCACCCAGAAAGTAAGCAGATCTACATCATCTTGTATCTACATAAGAATTATAGGTAGGTAAAGACGATTGGTAATTAGGAACTTAATAAAAAGTGCTGCTTTCTTTTTACTAGCTACTTACTTTCTGACAAGATATTGGGTAATGTCAACCACCAGAATCTGAAGAATATTTTTTTCTTGGTGAAGTCTCTCAAGTTTGCCCTGCAATTGAGAGTGTGACTTAGGAGCCCTTGATTAGGGTAATTTAAAATCTTAGCAATACTTCTAGACCCTCCAGGTTCTAGAGAACTAGAGTCCCTTTATGCTGAGAGTAAAGACAATGCGAATCCATTTCTGATTGGCTCCCGTATTTTAGGACTTCACAGTGTCACAAACGGGAGTAAAGATTACATTTTCACCAGTTGCAAAGATTATAAACTGGAATGGACCGGGAATAGGGGGTACGGCAAGGAACAAATTGAATAAGAGAGGGCACGAAGACAGGAATTTAGGAATGGGTTGATCAAAGATTAGAAAAAACGTCCGATTTGTGTAATCTTTATTCCTGTTTGTGACATCCATAAGCCACGTTGTCTCAACTCTCTATAAAGGGACTCTGTAGAGCAACAATAAAAATTTTAACTTACAGAAAGGCACTTTTGATTTGGATGACCCATACTATCATAGTAATTTATTGCTTTCTTTCTAAAATCAATGATACTCATGCACCAATGCACACCTAAGTGAACAGGTACAACTATCAGATCATGGCTGAAGATGTCAACCTGCAAAAATGAAACGGTAAAAATTAAAGAGGATTAATCAAATATTTTGCAGTGTTTTTTAAATGTTCAAAGTCCTCAATGGTCTGATGTAGAAAATAAAATTTGAACGAATTAAAAATTCATATCTTACGCTACGATGTAGAAATTGAAAAATTGAAAGAGAAAGAGACTACTTTTGAGATATTTCTATTCAAACGAAAAAAAATATCGCGGCTGTGCGAGCCTAGTTTCTTTGATTTCAGTCAAGTTCGAGTTTTTTTTCTCACTTTTCGGAGACAACTTTGAGAAATCTCTAGGGTAGAAAATTGATCTTGGGCCCACTTAGGCTCACAAGTTACCTCTAATTTAAATGATTTCAATCTATTTTAACCAGACTATTTTTCTTCAGTTTTCTATGTTTCTCTTCTTTCTCTCTGGGTTATTTGGGTATTCAGTTTTACTGCCTAATATCTATAAGATTGCCTTTTGCCGGTTGTTGAAGAATTTTGCGCAGCAAACAATACGTATTTTCTGCAGCCCAAAATTTTCTCACAACTTTTAGAAGAAGTAGCCCCTAAGATAGAGTTTTTCAACTCGATTCACAGAGAGAAATAGCAATTGTTGACACATTTTTTACGATTCAAGCGATTTTTTAATAGACATACAAGTCCTAAAAACTGAACTCCACGGCTGATATAGACAGCGGATTTTTGCATATGTTGGCTGTTCTACCGCACCAATTTGCTTATTAAAGTTTCCTGGGGGATCTCACTGGAAAATTCATGTGCGGTGTCATACAAACTTACTGGGTTACATTTTAAGTCGCATAAACTCAATTTATTTAACTGTTGCACAAGCTCTTTCTGCAAGCAGACGAGCCGTTCAGCTGACCGCCATATTGAGTTTCAAAATATCGCAAGTTGAAGTCATTCTCAGCAAAGCCAATCAGAGGCCTGTAAACTTTCCTTAAATTTTTCAAACTTAGGACGTACAGACAGGTTATTTTGAGGCCACTATCGTGCATCGTTCTTTCCGTGAAAATTAGTATTAAAAATAAGTAACACTTTGGAAATTCTCGCTACAAGCACATTCTTGATTGGATAAATCCATCCCTTGATTTAATTTTAAATTCCTTGAAATTAAGTTTTGTTAAAAATTTGAAGTGGTTCTTTTGGTTATTTGCACATTGATACATTATAAATCATGTAAATAAACTTACTTTTTTTGTCCAGCGTTTCAGAGATGCATGACCACTATTGACTAATTTCGGATAGAAAAACGTATTGAAAGCATAAACTTTTGGATACCTTCCGAGCTTATTCCGTTCCATTAATAAATTCATGTAAAAATTTATTACCTGCAGGGAAAAAATTGGTTCAGATGAAAAGAGAAACGGGCCAAAATAAGGTAGAACTTGATGGTGATGGGATTAATAATCTGTGAAATTGTTGAGAGCCAACAGTTGATACGAAAATTGTTCCATATACTAATCCCTAAACTAGATGTAGAATGCACAAATCAAAATTTTTGCCGACACCTGTTTTACCGCTTATCAATCAAATTCACGTTCATTTTTTGACAACCCAGGCTAAGAAGGTATCACTCCATGAATCAGATTGCAACATAAGACATTTATGAATATTTTTGAGAATATTTAAGAATAATTAATTAACGTTTTGCTCCGAGCTGTCTTTTCTCTGAATTGGAAGATTCCCTAACATTCAAGTTTTTCCCTCACTATTATCACCTTGAATTGTAAACAATGAAGTTTGAAGTTGTTGCCAAAATTATGGGATGGAAAATTCTGACTGACTTTTGGTTTGATTATTATTTAATATAATAATGACTTATTTTAGGGGTGCATAGATGTCGGATACTACCTGGATTTCTTCCTTCAACCTACCCACCTCATGTTGGGAAAGAACATTCAGTGTTCTGTTTTTTTGGAGGGGGCTCCATGATTAGACTCCCTTCATGTGCTCAATAAATTAAAAAAAAAAATCCATTATGCAACTTCATGGAATATCATTCCAAAGCTCTCATCTTCTTTTCAGTTGCATTGAAATGATGTTACAAGCCTTGTTGCATTACATTTTTTTTTTGAGTCACGCAAAAAAATTCAACACTTTTCAATATAAATAAAGGAAAAACAATTTACAATTTAAAACCAGGACAGTTGCTTATTCCGAAAAACAAAAAAAAGTCTAGGTTAGTAATGTATGCTAATGTTTGTCTCCTCAGATATAATCATTAATATCAGGCATTTACGCTAAAAATCATGAGTCCTTACCTCATCATTCAGCCAATTCAACCGGGCGAGCGTGATAAGATCTCTTTGCGTTATTCTTAGACCGAAAGCTTCTGAAAAAACTTGACCAGGATTTCTGCATGCCCACGCCTTTTCAACTTTCTCCTAGAGAGAAAACAAGCAGATTTATACACATAAACTACTGATTACTGATCAAACCTAAGTTAACTCCCAAGATGAGAGGCAGTATGCCATGCAAACAGAAAGAAGCAGTTCCCAATATTATCTGTTAAGATCTAAAAGGTGTTCCTCCAGCTCTGTATCTACATTGGCAACTTTTGCCATCTAAAAATTAGATTCATGAGCCTCTCCCATAAATGATATAATTTTTTTTTTCTCGTTTCTGTATTACTTCCTTTAAATTAATCTTCTCAAATTGGTTCTTGAAAATTTTTTCTAGAAAGAAAATGAGATAAAATTTAGCTCGTGATTGGAGCCAAGAGAATTATGTGGTATGTGCAACATGAAACGCGATATTTCCGGAATGTTATTTATTTACTTGGATGCATTTCGGGCTCCTTACCTGTAATATGCAAAATTAAAAAAAAAAAAAAATAATTAAAACAACAAAATTACAATTTTTTTTAAAGACATTCTGATAAAGCATCAAGTAGGTCCAAATTTTATGCTATAGTATGAAATTGTAAGAGTAACATGTAAAGCATGATGCCTGAGGCGCGAAGCACTTAGAAGGATTGGCTCGCAGAGCGGTAAGGGAGCATAGCCCCCTAGTGAAATTTATAAAAACATAAAAACATAGGTACATGTTTTCTTCTTTCAATCTAATGTTTGTTTGGTTAGTTCTATCTTTATTCTAATTGTTGTCCTAACTTAAAATTTTACTGTATCACCAACTGTTTGTTGAAGTTTATTTTACATTTTAACACATTTTATTCACACTTATGTTATGCGTTCATAATTTGGAAAAAAAATGTGATTTTATTGTTTGTATAAAGCCAATCCTATTTTAGCTGATGACCGCCTAAAATGCATCTAAATACATTAATAACTTTCCAAAATCATTTCCCATTTTGGTGTGCACACTACCAAATGCTCTTTAAGATATTTATTACCATTACAGTCATCATGACAAATTAAAAATTCCTTCTTCTATTGTATACTAAAATTCTAGAGAGAAAATTTAAAGAAGTCTTTTTTGAATTGTCCTCCAGCTAAAGTTTCCACCTAAATGATAGTCACAAACCTCCATTTCGGGGGTGAGTTCTGGTAATGCCGGGATCTCTTCAATTTCAGGTTCATCAATGATCGCTTCTTTGAGGCTGAGGATGTCCTTAAGTCTTTTGGTGACATGTTGATCATCTACTTTTCCATTGACTTCTTGCAATACTTTCTTCTTTTTCTCTTCTAAATTGATTTGACTTAACTTTCTGATATTATTTTCTCGCCAAGAATCGATCCTAAGAAATAAAGACGAAAAAGAAGAAAATTAGTACACATTGGTTCACTCCCATGACCGCTCGCTCAAAGCTAGTTAAATGAGATTTTACCGATCTCAATATTACAAATCTACATCTCCATCATGACATTTGAAAAAAAAATATTTTCTTGAGATTATAGGTGATCACTGTTTTGCCATGCTTGAAAAGAACGGCGTATGCGTTTTCAGACATTGCCAAATTTCCCTAGATAACGTACAAATTTTCTGGGAAACCTATGAAACTGTGAATATTTTTCCTCTAATTTCATTAGATCATTGAATCTTGTATTTTTTATTTGATATTCTGACAGTCCAAAGCAAGTGGATAATGCAACGATTTATAGCGTATTTTTTGAGCCAAAATCCCCGGAGAAACTCACTTTATAAAGTCAAAGAACTACAAGAGATTTCAAATGTGCCTAAATGTCAGGAAAATGATGATGATGATGATGTTACAATAGTCAAAAGGATATTTTCTCTCATTCTCGGGTGATGCTCATCAGAATAACATGCATTTAAACATGGAATTGTGGTTTGTTTACTACTAATAACATGAACAAGATTTGCTTCAATTTGATTTTGGAAATAGTTATGAGCACCCTATTGTTTCCATGTACAAAGAGAAGAAAAACGTTTGACTTAAGTTCAGAAACCTGTGCTTGCTTCTGATTGGTGCCAGATAATACCATCTGGTCTGATCTGGTCAGAAATCAGAGCGTTTCGAATTTTCGGAAAAATTACTCATTTTGAACTTCATATTCTTTGGTTTCAGAGTTACTTTCTTATGTTTTTGATAAGTGCACTGTGCTCTACGTATCATTTACCGTAAGAAAAGTGCACTACTAAGTCAAAATTCATTCCAGGTTTGTTGATCCATTAGATCTAAATTACCTGGAAATTTCAAGGGAAGATATTCATAAGTCTCCTCACAAGTAAACATTTTACCGGAGGCAATTTGGTAACTCTTGAAAGTTCATACAACGTTTTTCCTTGGCAGACAGTACGCTGCAGGCGATCGCTACAGCACTAGCTCTTCCTCTTTGGAGAACATGTAACTAATATTTGACAATTGGTCTCATTGAAGAACTACAAACAATAGCACAGAAAACCCCGAACACTGTGACCGTTTTGGCTTGGCACTTAAAACAAAACAACAACTTCTGGACAACTTCTTTTGTTCTCTTCGGAGAAAAAAAGAAGAATTTACAACACGATTGTCAAGAGCACAGTAACCTACGGGTGGAAAGTACGGCAGATAAAATAGCGGACCTGGGAGGTTTTAGAGGCTATAGAGATAGACTTTTGGCGTAGATCCCCCGGTATTTCCAGAAAAGATAGCGTCAGGAATGAGACGGTACAGGAGATTATGGATGCCAAACAGACCATCGTGCATGACATGACGATACAACTCATTTCGTATGGTCATATTTAGAGAATGGTAGGAAACAGGTTGTCAAAGGTCTTTGATTGGGTTCCTCCTGGGAGAAGGCGCAGAGGATGCCCAATGAGAGGTTGAAGGGATGGGACTGAGGCAGAACTGGTATGTGCTCAATGCCTGAAGGGTTGTGGACAAAGGGCAGTGGAGGTTAGGAGTCGTAGAGTGTCAGGGTGTGCTATAAAGCGACCCTGACAGTGAATAAGTTGAGAAAGTACATGTATTGAGAATGATGAGCGAGAATACTTACATAGATTTGCAAAAAATTGGATCGCTCCATGCTTCTCGTTTCAAAGCTGACTCAAAACTGTTACATCGAGGAGTTCGGGTTTTAATTTTTTCAAATTCTACAGAGATGTCTTCTGAGGGATCATCATCTTTTGTTACTAGAAAAAAAATGTCATTTCCTTAAATTAGCAGACTTAATGTGAAGAGGAGGAAAAAAAAAACCACATACGGCGAACTCTAGGGTAGTGCGTTGATGCACAATAATAAATCATGTCTGGATATTAAAACAATCAAAATTAAGAGCAATTTTCTCATACCTCAAAATTGGTTGATTTTACTACGAAAATCAGAAAAATTCTTGGACGGTTACATTGTAGATATTTATAGTAAAACCTTGATAAAACATTAGATTTGGCAATTTTTTTGATGCAACGATTTCCTTTTATTTCGAAAAAATCTTTAGACTAATGATGTATTTTTTTTCAAAATAATGCTGTCACAGGTAGGGTGGATTGATTGACAACAATTTCATCGGTCGAAAACGGAAGAAAATACTACTTTTGCCAAAAAACTTTGAAAATATTCCAAATACAATCTTTACACAATAATGTTGGAAATCAAACATGGCACTGTCAACGTGATTAACACAATTTTCAGCCACACACGTGAGGCACATAGGAAAATACATAGCTGAAAGTGTGATGTGCCCCAGCGAAGCACCGCAGAGTTATGAAGAATCTAAGTTGATACTACATGACAGACAGAAAATAGAACTGGGGATAGAAAAGAATGGAGAAATTTCACATCAGAAAATAGTAGCATTCAACATACATTTATGTGGTAACTAATGGGCCAACTGATGATTGATGTAACATTTGTCCATTTTATCCTGTCCCAAGTTCTACAGAAAATTTTAGCATATGCAAGAGTCACAGATAACTCCGAGCGGACTTCACATCCCATCTTCACTTCTTCCTCAGTATTCAGTGGCCTTCCAATGCTCTAAGCATGTGGTGGGGGAAAGGGACTTGTGAACATTGAGTTAGGCACAAAAAGAGTTAGATTACAAGTTACATCTTACAATACAAACTTACGATCAATTGTTGCAGCCAAATTGAGGTCTGATCTTCTTGTTAATGCACGCTTATCTTTTCTACTGGCAGTGCCCTTGAGCATCGGTAGTATAGAGAATTCATTGGATTTGACGACGTTTTTCACTAAAGTATTACTACCTGCTTGAGTCATTGGTCTTGAAAAAGAAGGGCAAAAATAAATGAGATAAAATAATAACAGAAAAGCCCCTATATATTTTGAATTTTTTGTGAGGTCCTGATAATGGAGAATGGATATTATTAGGGAAGGCAAACAATTGATCTGTTGTCATTTTATATTTTTTTAAGTCGAAAAGTTATGTTCTCAACTGTTGTTTATCATAACTGGGAAGAAAACATTTTCAGGGATCCTGACCTTTCAATCTCCCTGCCTTCAAGATGCGAGGAGAGAGAGAGGCATACCATCAAAATATCGACAATTTCAAAGGAGACAGGGAGACAGGGTTACAATGATGAAAATCCTGAATTTTGTTCTAGAAATCCAGTCCGCAAATCTTCAAAGAATGAAGGGGCTCAAAAGGGGGGGGGGGCTCATGTCCTCCCTATTTAATTTTAAACAGCTATAGAGGACAGAATGAAAATCCTTGAAACTCTTAGTAAAACCATTGAGGTTTAGGAGTAAAACAGAGACATTGCCTGTCTGATTGTAAAGTTAAAAATCCTAACACAGGACCACATCTATCTGTCCACAAGCTTGCTTAATATGCTCACAATTCCCTTGAAAAATTAGCTTAATTGTTGTGATGATACGTAATATGAAAGTTCATTACTTTCATTACAATTTTAAAGCAGATCTTCCACAGTTCGTGAGATCACTCAGTATGCTCTTGATTTTTCTACTGCATTGCAAACAAGAAAATATCATGGGATTTGAAATTAATGTTGATTAATGTTGTAATTAACAAAAACTTTTTTAAAAACTCTCAAAACAATACAAATAAACATTTTCGTGAGGAATGAGCTTGTTCAGCAATTCGTAATTCTTGCATTTTTGGAAACTAGAGAGTGCACAGAGTTCACAGGAATTTTCCCCGATTTTTTTGAGCAATATTAACCCACGAAATACGAGTCCAAAAGTCCGTATTTTGGGCTCCCATTTAAACGCGCGCCGCTTGGCCCATCTCAAAATGGCGCCCATTTTCTCCGTCCGGCAGTGGCCACACTTTTGACCCGGCGTGCCGGCGAGGAACCTCTGCATGCCTCTGCCGTGTGTGGGTCGTATAAACAAACGAAGATTGATAACACAAATGATCCAAACAACTCGAAATCTCTTAATTTTAATTAATTTAAATCCATTTTCGACTTCAACCAAGCATTTGGCAATAATATTCATCGTATTTTACAACCTGGAGCCACGGCCTATCGGCTCATTTTAAGGTGCATTCTGAAAATCAGTTTTACAAGTCCAATGTCCAAACCCAGACTTTCTTCTTTCCCTTTTTTTTAACCATTCTCTTTTCACTTTCGCCTCAAATCAAATGTTTTGCAGTTTTTTTATCTTAAGTAAGTGGTCCTGAATTCATTCAAGAGTTAGAAGTTCACGATTTATTTAGTATTATAGCCTTTTGACCTCTTAAGCTTTATCGATATGATCTCATGTAGTTCGAGGTTTCTTTGGCCCAAACCAAGTGATTACTTACACATCTGATGTGAGTCTTATGGCTCTTCAAATTCGCAGTGTAGAATTAAATCAGAGACTACAGTTACTTAATCCAGTTCTGCTCTCTTGTTCAATGTTTGTCATAAGTGTTTGTTCGTGTCTGTTCTTTATAAGTGACCACTGTAGTGCATATACACAGTTATGCTATCGGTACAGGTATTATTTCTTGTTTTCTACAGTCAGGACTTTCTCTTAAGCGCAATAATTTACCAAAGAAATTCACCTAGTTGCGTAAATAATTTGGTGTATAGATATTCTGTTAATGTCTCCTTGCGGTGATGCAAAGTTTCTGAGATCTGTCATAAGTGGATTTTGCATTTGGACGGTCACTCTTGCCTGATAAAATTACTGCTCTAGCAACTTCAAATTTATACTTTGATCTCTGATTCATCACTAAATGACACTCGTGCGGGGTCATTTATCTTTAATCAGTTCAAAGCTATTTCGACAATGAATCATCAAAGGTCCGATTGAAGAAGGAATTTTCTGGTGAGTGCTGCGGCTGAACCGACATCACAACTCAACTTTCAAAAGCATCAACTTATAAAAATTTATGAGGAAGTGGTAATGGTAAGTGGAAATCATGGTAGTGCTCGCTTCTTTCTTAAGCAAATTGTGCGCTCAAAATTTCAAAATCTACTCACCTGCATGTATATTTGAAGAGGAATACGACATGATATGTAGCAGGCTACACTTCATCTATTAATAATACGTAAATTTGTCTTCAGAGCATTCTTAGGAAACTTCCACAATTTTTAGTTTTGTTCCTGAGAGAAAATTTTGAGATGACTCTGCTGGTATTCCCAGTGTCTTTTCAGAAATTTTGTACTTCGTAGGTATCATCAAATACTTAAGTATCAACAGATATTGTACAAGATAGAAAATTTATTTGAGGATTCCTGCTAGTATGTTGTGTTTCCTGCAGCAACAAGGCTCATCACATTTCATGGAATGAAGTAATCAAAAACTACTTACTTACCTACAGCTTGGTCAGTTTCATGTCTTTCTAGAGTGAAGAAAATATTTTTTTTTCTCTCTATTTAAGAATTCAGGGTGAATCAAACCTGTCCAACAAAAATTTTAATAAAATGCCTTTGTTCAAAAACACCTAAGAATCATTTCAATTGTAAAGATGCCGACGATTCTGGTTAAAAGTCCGAAAGTCGGCTGATTTACTGAATTTCTCAGGTACAGACGGATGGAAGGATTTTGAAAAGACATAGAATTACATCCTCCCATAAGAATAAGTCAGGAACATGGTTAAGGTTATCTGGGGATGACATTTGTAACATTTCGTTGCATGATTTTATAATCGAAGAGAAACAGAAAGTCTGAAACTTTGTAAATCTACGTACATGGTTTTCTAGTTAGGCTATGACATCGATATGCTCGTTTTGTTATCAATTAATCTCCACAAAGGTAAGCATACCTACAAACACTGTTCCACAAGAGATACGAATGTAACTTGTGATACCTAAGTGACTTTACAAATCTTACCTGTTAAACTACCAGCTACCTGATTATTGAAACTATGTCAGCCCGATATGAAAAGACATAGCCCTATCTTCTCCATGTAATATATCGGAATTTGTTGTCTTGTCGGGTTGCTCTAAGCCTTCAATAATCGGCCTGCTGATGAGTTGCAAAATATTTCCACTTCCAGACGAATGATCATGTCTTGGTTGATGCTTTCGATAGTAGAGTTGTGATGTCGGTTCAGCCGCAGCACTCACCAGAAAATTCCTTCTTCGATCGGACCTTTGATGATTCATTGTCGAAATAGCTTTGAACTGATTAAAGATAAATGACACCGCACGAGTGTCATTTAGTGATGAATCAGAGATCAAAGTATAAATTTGAAGCTGCTAGAGCAGTAATTTTATCAGACAAGAGTGACCGTCTAAATGCAAAATCCACTTATGACAGATCTCAGAAACTTTGCATCACCGCAAGGAGACATTAACAGAATATCTATACACCAAATTATTTACGCAACTAGGTGAATTTCTTTGGTAAATTATTGCGCTTAAGAGAAAGTCCTGACTGTAGAAAACAAGAAATAATACCTGTACCGATAGCATAACTGTGTATATGCACTACAGTGGTCACTTATAAAGAACAGACACGAACAAACACTTATGACAAACATTGAGCAAGAGAGCAGAACTGGATTAAGTAACTGTAGTCTCTGATTTAGTTCTAAACTGCGAATTTGAAGAGCCATAAGACACACATCAGATGTGTAATCACTTGGTTTGGGCCAAAGAAACCTCGAACTGCATGAGATCATATCGGTAAAGCTTGAGAGGTTAAAAGGCTATAATACTAAATGAATGGTGAACTTTTAACTCTTGAATGAATTCAGGACCACATACTTAAGACAAAGAAACTGCAAAACATTTGATTTGAGGCGAAAATGAAAAGAGAATGGTCAAAAAAAGTAAAAGAAGAAAGTCTGGGTTTGGACACTGGACTTGTAAGACTGATTTTCAGAATGCACCTTAAAATGAGCCGATAGGCCGTGGCTCCTGGTCGTAAAATACGATGAATATTATTGCCAAATGCTTGGTTGAAGTCGAAAATGGATTTAAATTAATTAAAATTAAGAGATTTCGAGTTGTTTGGATCATTTGTGTTATCAATCTTCGTTTGTTTATACGACCCACACACGGCAGAGGCATGCAGAGGTACCTCGCCGGCACGCCGGGTCAAAAGTGTGGCCACCGCCGGACGGAGAAAATGGGCGCCATTTTGAGATGGGCCAAGCGGCGCGCGTTTAAATGGGAGCCCAAAATACGGACTTTTGGACTCTTATTTCGTGGGTTAATATTGCTCAAAAAAATCGGGGAAAATTCCTGTGAACTCTGTGCACTCTCTAGTTTCCAAAAATGCAAGAATTACGAATTGCTGAACAAGCTCATTACAGATTAAATATTGAAGAAAAACTTACATGGTGGAAACAGCCTCCATGATTGGGCCTGTTTGCAGTATTGAAGATAAAAGGTCATTGTATGCATTTTTCTCTTGTAAATTCTAAAGAAAACAAAAAAAAAAGGGTGAATTGAAATTGACGATTGGACAAATTGCTGAAATACCATGATAGATAAGGGGTGCAAAAGGGGGTATAGACAAGGTACAAAATTAGGCAGCACAGCCCCAAAAGCCGATATTAGCGAAGAAGGCGGATTAGTCGGCATTTGACCGCAAACCTTCTAAACCTAACCTTTCTAAACCTTTTTCTGCTAAAATTGGCCTTTAGACCCATGATTAGGCCAGTATTAGACCCGAAAATGGCCAAATCATGATGTTATACAAAAATTATAGACCTTAAATGGGCAAAACATTGTAGAGTTGAGGAAATGGGTGGGCTTTAAAACGGCTCTTACTGATAACCCCTACTTTTTCTTGTTTTATTCAATTTGATTCAATTTAAGGCCCAAAAATCATATTCGTCCAGCCTTAATAATTCATGCATGCACTTATACACTGAAATTAAAGGATTTAATTCTCAATTACCCGAACAGATTGACTCGAATTAAGTCTAGACGTGGAGTCTTTGTGCAACATCTGGTAGCTTCTGGGGCTTAGAGATGCAGGAACTGAAGTCTTCCAAAGAGTTGTACTGGTTGAAGCAGTTGCTATGCCATCTAACATAAAATGATAAAGGACAGTAAGGTAAGTGATACAGCAAATGCAGAGACATCATAGGGAGTTCTAGATTTTCATGTTTGAGGATGCCACATTTGTTTGACGTCGCTAGGGAAGAATGTTGGAGTTTTTTTGCAAACGTGTGTTGAAAATTCAGCATAAAGCTGAAAATCTCAGTACAGAAGGAAAAAGCTCATTCGAGCACAGTTTTCCCTCAAAGAGATATGCTGTTTGGTGCAACACTGGTTACATTCATTCAGGAAGGCAACTGCAGACGCCTTTCGGCCTTGTTAGGCCAATCCTCAGTGCAGTGCAGCCTCCTGAAATTTCTGCTACCAAGCTTGAGAGGTCGCAAAAACCAGCCTGAAACTTGGGCAAGCGAATACCGGCGCCATCTAGTGAGCGATTATCCAAACAGCTCCGCATAAGCCTTGGCAAGACAGTTTTACATAAACTGATTGGGGTCGTAAGACAGTATGTTGGAGTTTTTTGCCAACGTGCGTTAAAAATTCGGGATATAGCTGAGTATCTCAATACAGCTCTCTCAAGCTTGGTACCAGAAAATTCAGGAGGCTGCACTGCACTGAGGATTGGCCCAACAAGGCCGAAACTCATCTGCAGTTGCCTTCCTGAATGGATGTAACTATTGTTGCACCAAACAGCATATCTCTTTGAGGGTAAACTGTGCTCGAATGAGCTTTTTCCCTCTGTATTGAGATATTCAGCTATATGCTCAATTATTAACGCACATTGGCAAAAAACTCCAACATACTGTCTTACGACTCATGCGTCCACCGCGATCAGTTTGTGCAAAACTCGCTAGGGAAGGTTTGGAAGTAGTCCTTTATCTGAAAATTTTTGATTTTTCCCTCTCCAAGAATGCAATTGTGATGCAAAAAATTACTTACTCAATGGGCAGCTTGATTTCAATGGATGACTAGACAAGGTCTAAACTAGAGGAAAACGTCACATTACAACATCTCCATTCTCTTGTATTTTTTAAAACTGTGATTCCAGTATCCAATAAAACTGAATTTCAATAATCCTATGCTGCCGATCTAAACATGAAATTTGTTGCAATCATTCTGTTATGGATGATTTTACTTGTTACTTTAAAAATTTTCTTCACAAAAAAGCAGGAGGGGGGATACCCAATTTTTTGAGACAGACTGAAAGTTTGAGGCAAATACTGGAATGGAGGGAAAAATGATGATCTGGATAATAAAAAAAAATAAAAAAAGAATAGAAGAATTTGTGCTTTATTTAGTGGCACTAGGTTCAGGCAGGCTGGGTAGACAATAAATGAATATTCAAAATAACTGGCATTCAATGCTATTTATCCGAATTCTCAGGCATATTACGAGTTTTCTTCAAATTCCTAAAATTTTTCCTGGATTTTCCTCCCAAATTAAAGTACCTGAAATGCTGGTCTCTCAAGACCTCTTTGAGACACATCTCACTTACATTAAAAAAAATTACAGATAATAATGATGTGGAAACTTACGGTTACTTTGGAAGATTTGACGTGCTTGTGCCTCTCGTTGCTCTCTTTGGAGGATGTTCCCTTGCTCATTGATCCGACTCATCTGAATTAAAAAGAATTCACATTTTAGAATCTGCAGTCTTGATATTTTTTAAAATGTTAAATCTAAAACAAGGTGAGATTGTGCAAAATTTGGTTAAGGAGGCCAGTTAACACAAACACTTTTGGCCTTGTTTGAATTCAAATGTTTTCGACATTTGATGATATTGAATCATGAAAGTTGAAGGGTAAAAGACTATTGCTTTCCTGTCATGGGCGAGTGCTCCTTGCCAGCATTGAACAAACAATTACAAAGTATATTCTGCCATTCAAACAGAAGAGTACAATACAGTCGCAACGTTCTGGAGCGCCGATGAAGTCACTTTTTGAGCCTGTTTTGTCCAGTACTCCTAAGACTAGTGTGCGGCAACTGGCAATGCCATATGCGCAGGATACCAGCTCCGGTCTACGCTCAGCGAATAAAGGTATAAAATTTATTTTATAAAAACCGGGAGTGATGTAAATTTTTGAATTTGCTGAGACTTCAGTGAACACAATTTGCCAAAATTCACCGAAATAATGATTGATTTAAATGAATAAATCCCAAATACCACTCGCAGTCTGCAATTCTCCCAAGAGCCGCAGTGTTAAAAAATGCCGAACGGTTCCCAGAAGGTTCCCACTTTCCGGCGAACAAGGGGCTCAGAATGGCCCGTTCATGGATTGACTTCATCGGCGCTCCAGTACATTGCGACTCTATTGTACTCTATGATTCAAACAAAGTTAAACATTTTAAGCATATTCCTTTAAGGCTATTTTCTACTTCTTTATGTTGATATATTTTAAACTAAGATTTCTTAAAAATATAAATATACTTTAGATAACAAATATGAAATCAACTCTTTTTGGTTACCTTGAGAGTATTTTCATCTAAAAGTGTTCTCCTTGGTCTCAGTGGATGTCTTCCTTGAGGGGTGAAATGACAATCATCTAAAAATGAACATAGATAGTATTAAATGATGCTATTTTATCAAAATGCTGTCATTTTAGATAAAAAGGTAGACAAATTTCAAGAGACATTAATGCTCTCTTTTCCTGTGTTTAAAAAAAAGAGGAGACAGGATGTTTGCTGTATGATACATTTATATACATACTCAATTTTGACTTGACTTGACTCGCTGAGCAAAAACAAAATTCACCCTTTCCTGACTTAGGTTTCAGTGCCCAGTTGAAATAATGCAACCTCAACATCAAAGTAATGGTTCAGGGTAATGATTCAAGGTGGTTTCAACCTGTGGTCCAGAAAGTTCTTTGCATTCACAATTTATCAGCAAGCTTTCACAAAAAATACCATATTTTTAGGAAGGCTTAGTGCATGTCCAAGACTTTGTTTTCACAAAAACAGACATTCTCGATACTTTCCTTCACAAAAAAAAGAAAAAGAAAAAATGTGATTGCTCGTCCTCGACTGCAGTGTTCGAAATTCACAGTGGCCAACCCGCCTAAAAAATAAAGGCTCTGCGCCAATTTAGCCCCTAGAAATTGCCCCTCCCCCCCCCCCCCAAAAAAAAATTTTCTAATTTCTCCGTTTGGTGATTTTTTTATTTAACGCACCGCACCCGATTATAACTTTACACTAGATGCTCCTTAATACAAGGGCTAGAAGTCTATTTAGCCCCCAAAAAATCTTCTATGGCCCCTAAAAATCGAGCTTCATGGGCCACATAGCTCCTGAAACGTAAAGGTCAATTCCAAACACTGCTCGACTGCTCCACAAAAAGTACGGTATAGATACAGAATCAGCTGAATAACAGGCAAAACCTTTGATTTCGGTTTGATTTGCTGAAAATTTTCATGTGAACTGTGAATTTTATTCTTCAGCCTATCCTTTTTTTAGTTTCTAATGATTTGTTGGCTGATAGCACTTCCATTAAAATGAATTCCTATTCTACCAATTAGCCGTTATTGCAAGGATTTTGAATGCACTTTTGATGCTGTATAGAACCCTTAAAATAATGCACTATATATTCATTGGTACTTACAATGATGATAAATGTACACAAGATACAATATGAATCATTAATCTACATACCTAAACGACCAGCTTCTTTACTGAGTTTTAATCTTTTCGGTTGGGTCACTTCGTTTGAAATATCATCCTCAATAGAGCTGAAAATGAGAGATTCAGTATGAGCATAATAAAAGAGAACAAAATTGAAGGTGCTTTAAAAATTATTGTTAAGTTCAATACAAAAACAAGGAGAGGAAGAAAGAGAGAGGCGGTTTCAAGAGCAATGGTTTCGACTTTATACGCATATGGTTCATTTAGTGTTTGGTTTAAATGGCTAATAGCGCTTGAGAATCGATTGTTTTTACAGCAGTGTTAGCAGTCAGGAATAGTCAACAGTTGTGTCTGTCCACCCTCCCCAAAATGCAAAGAGGATAAGTGCCTTGTTACATCAGAACCGTTGAATGCTGATCTATAGCTGATGGCAAGACTACTATATCATCCTGTTTCTGACTTCTTCGTAAGATCTATTCACTTAGGTCATCGTTCTCATAACCAAAATGAGAATCTTCTGTGTAAGATGTCAGCATTACCAGCACGAAAGCCAGATAGCTGGGGATCAATGCTTTTCTTGTGGGAGAGGGTTAATTTTTATTGATGAATCATTTAAATTTCGTTCTTTTGTACTGTTGGGAACTTAATGAGAGTCGATAATAACTTTTGAACAATAGCATTCAAGGTTTTAATTCAGCTGAATTTGCATTTATACATGATTTAGGAAGCCAGCAATATACAAGTCATTAAGTGGTATGGATTTGCATGTAAAAATGGCTGATGCAGAGTCAATTGTAAAAATAACAAGACACAGCAGAATCGGAACCCTGATCACTAGGGTCTAATAATTTTTTTCGACACTCAGAAAGTTTCAGAGAATTTAAAGGTAAGAAATTTAAATGACTCGTTGATAAAAATTAGTGCTATCACATAAGAAAAGCACTGTTCCGGCATTTTCGGTTTACGTGGCAGTAATATTGACGTCATGATCCAATGGGCAGGGGCAACCCTGAGCCGGGAAATCTGAATATCTGACGTACAAGGATAGATCTTGATAAGTTCATGGGCCATGGCAGATCAGGACCAAAGACATGAAGACGGAGCGCTAGAAGAAGAAAAGCCACCTCTGACAAGTTTTCGGAGCCTCTATGAGCAGCAGAAAAACTAACTTAATCTGAGATTCCTGTAAGATTCCTCCTTGATACCGAGCCATTATAGGTTTATCATAAAAATTCACTATTCCAACTCTGTATATCTGTTTGTTTTAGGCATTTAAAATGTGGTTCGAAGAAGAAATATGGAGAAATGAAGAGGACAGGTTCAAATTAAATCATTTCCCGCGCATGGATTCGCAGCGCCAGAATGGCTTCACTTCTTCCTCGTGCTTTTAGATACAAGCGCTCCGTCTTTACGTCTTTGATCAGAACTCAGTGGGGTTAATAGGTTAGGTTCTGAGATGGTCTGTAATTTCTCAGACAACAGTAGTAAATTAAGAGAGTTCTAGAGGTACTTAGCGATAACAGGTGGTTAGGATTAACTCTGAGACGACCAAAAGGCTTGCCAAAGAAGTTCGAGCTACTATTAGCTTTGTTTTCTTAAAACCTTCCGATGTGAGTGTATATGTTGGCATTCTGCACCATTGTTACTCTACATTCTACCTCCATTCAGCAGTAACTGAATTATGTAGTTGGCCGAAGATTGTTAATCACCTGTCTGCGCGTATGCCCTCTTGCACAGATAAAGTACCTTTCGCAGACTGATACTAATTGAATTTGAGACAGAGCTGAGGTGTAAGGCTCTAACTTACCGAGGGGAAATACTATTCCACAAGCTACAAGCTTCCTCCCTGGTGAAGCTATGAATTACCATGATAAAGGAAAACCCAAAACAAATATGTAAGACACTGGGGAAAACAGTATTCCCTCTTACCTCCTTGGCCTTTTCGGCGAAAGGGAAAATGTAACGAGCTTTTCCCTCCAAAAGTTATGCACTGAGGTAAAAATATGCCGGAAGACATCTACCATCATGCATTTAGCGATAGTAGCGAGCGGTATGTGAGCCGAGAACTGAAGTGCTTTGAATTGCTATGAGAATGAGATGGGAGTTAACTTTCATGACACTAGGACGAAAAGATGGAATAAGTGACAACAACTGAATAAATTTTGACTGAGGGGGAGGGCAAATTAATTTGAAGTGATTGAAAATTTAAGTAAAAAGAGGACGTTGAGATTCAGAGACTGTGTTTTTTCAGTAACAATTGCAGTAATTGCAGACAGTGTTGACGTGGGGTGCTTTCGAAATTACGCGCGCTTGACCAAAAAATTATGCATGTTTGACCTAAAATACGCATTTTCACCCCAAATTATGTACATAAAACGCAAATTAGATTTTTTTTTCTTTTTTTAAATATGAGTAAGGACATATTGCGTCGTGATTGACGTAACGTAGGCGGGAAGTTTGCCGTCCAAACTGATAAATACTAATAAATACCTAAGGGAAAGAAAGGAAAATGAGTGGTGGTAGTAGCAGGGCAACACTGAATGCGAGGCTCGAAAAAGTTGCCGCGAATTTCAAAATTGTGTTTTTGCGCTCTTTCTGTTTAAGGCTGGTCCGGCACCATTTCTTAAAGTTTTTATTTGACGATTTACTTATTCTGCTGTAGATTGAATTTTGACGGCGAAACTACCACACCACGTATCGCGCTTTGCGACGTAGCAGACTTCATGTTATACTTTTTTTTAAATGAAAATTATTCAGCATCCCGTTTAGAAAATTTCCGTAATTTTTCTTCTCTGCGCGGCATGGCCGGATTTACCTACTTATTGCCGCCCATGGGCTGCCTGTATTTTACCGCCCTCTTCTCATTCATTTTGAAACATCAATAAAAACCATCAAGTGAACGTGCCGGAGGGAGAAGGGTGCATAAGACGCGTTCACTCGTGTTGGACACATTTTTTGCGTAAGCCCTGTCAACACTACTAGCAAAAGTTCATGGAACTTCGCGCGAAAGTTCAGTTCCGTAAACCTATCTCTGTGCGGACGAGGCCTTTCACTCATAAGAAAAGAACGAAGAAATTATGAAAGAAGAAATATAAATGTAGTTTAATAATTATAACTTCCGCCGCCTAGAGTGCCTTTATAGACAGAGTATGGCCATTTCTGTTCCGGTTTTTCATTCGTCGCTAGCGAATAGGCTGACAAGATGCTCTTAGGGCCGTAAATAAACAAACAAGATGGCTGTTTTCAGCAAGCAAGATTAAGGTTGCCGGCCAGGTTGGCCTAGTGGTTAGCGCGTCTGACTCTAGGTCAATAGGCCCCGGGTTCGAATCCCGGTGGTGGCGACAAATTTTCATGGAACTGACGAGTGGATCTGTAAGCAGAATTCGCTCGACCTTAATCCGTGGAAAATTTGTAAGCCCGAGCATGGATGTCCACCAAACTCCCTAATGTCTTCGGACAATAAAAATAATGCCTATAGATGGCTGTAGATTCCTAAAGGAATAGAAGCCACTAAACTCTCAATAAAAAAAAAAAAAAGATTAAGGTTATCCACATCTTACATCCTCCTGTGATAAAGGTGAAAGGCGATTTAACAATGTTTTCGTGTTTGTGAGTGTGTGTGTGTGTGTCCCTTTGACGAGTCGCGGGTTGCAGCATCTGATCAATGAGTGGGAGAGAGATAGACGATAAAACGGCGGCTTGTCAAAGCCGAGTGGGCTCCTCTGACGTGCCGCATCTGAGCAATGAGTGCGAGAGAGAGAAAGGACAAAACAGCGTATGGACCAATCCAAGTTGAGCCTTAGTCCCCGTTTACGGCCGTTCTTTCCAGGGCTCATGGTCGGAAAGCACTCCGGTGTTTTTTCGGGGCACCCGGATTCGGGCTCGCCACTACCTCCGCGGACCAAATTACGAGGCCCAGCCTGTATTTTTGCGAGTGTGTGTGTGTCCCTTTGACGAGCCTCGGGTTGCCGCATCTGATCAATGAGTGGGAGAGAGATAGACGATAAGACGGCGGCTTGTCAAAGCCAAGTGTGCTCCTTCGACGTGCCGCATCTGAGCAAGGAGTGCGAGAGAGAGAAAGGACAAAACAGCGTATGGACCAATCCAAGTTGAGGCTTAGTCCCCGTTTACAGCCGTTCTTTCCAGGGCTCATGGTCGGAAAGCACTCCGGTGTTTTTTCGGGGCACCCGGATTCGGGCTCGCCACTACCACCGCGGACCAAATTACGAGGCCCAGCCTGTATTTTTGC